AAGAAACACAGTATGTATAAGAAGTCAGTTGATGTGGCAAGCTACAAAAACTTAAAGAATATTAACACCGAAGATCTCTGAGGTCATTTTCACTTAAAACAATAACTGAGACACAAGATGGCACCAATTGTGTTTGTATGAAATGAGAGAGTGACTGTTGTGATACGAGAGACATGAAAGTAGCGCAGATTTCTGACACCTGTGATAGAGAGCTGCTAGTAGAGCTCTGCGAATATTAAGAAATGTCTGACTGCTAAATGCCATGATTGCCAATAAGAATTTAATATTCTGATGAACCATGTAATAAATATGAATAATTAATAGGGGAAATTATAGTGTTTAAATATGAAAAGGGTCAAGAAACTGTCTGTTTATTAAAATGTGACTTGTCGAATTTGTTTTCAACACAAGAACAAGACATGACATATTTTAAATACCTCCCACTAATTAAATGAAAACAAAGATGATAAATGAAACCACACGAAAACAGGGGGGAAAAGAATGAAAAAGCAGTCTGTGAAACAGGCTGACAGTGTAGGATGGTATATTTTGGATTACGCTGATAGATTTAGACTTACTCAGCTCCTCTCTTATCTTTGCCAACATGCAGACCAAATCATGCCAAGTAATGAGAGCCAGTAAAGAATGGGCAGTGTATGATTTCAGCCAGCTAATTTCATTTCATTAATATTATGGCATTTGAATACAAGATATTGATTAATATACATAATAATCCAATCTGTATTTGCATCTAAACTAACTCTAATCCATTTAAATTTTCAAAATTTTTGCATGCCTGTGTGATTTGTTTTATAAATCAGAATATTGTGGCTATTAATCTGTGGCTATTAATCCATACTGAAATCCATAATATCAGTGAAAGGAGGATATGCTATCTTTTCATTTCATATCACATGTATATTACCGAGTAATGTATATTACCAGGTAAGTGAATGTAAATTAACGAGTGGAAAAATGGTAAACCGAGTGGTACATTGATATAAAGGTATAACACTCTTCTTTCTTCCTCTGAACTTTGATTTGATTTGAAACTTTATTTCGAACATGTAAAATAAATATAGTAAAAACTAAACCAGAACAATACAACAAAAAACAAAACAATTTTAACTTTTACATATCCAAAAAGGACTTGACCTTGAACTTGAACTTTGACCTTGGAAGAATTGCTACTCGACTATTTAATATTTTCAAAATACAGGTTTTATATTTTCAAAATTACTGCCAATGGCATGAACTTAAGAGACAAACATTATCTTTTACACATATTTATTTATTAACAAACATTTAGAATATTGATATTTTTGATATTGACCATTTCCAAATCTAATATGTATATATACGTATATATACAGTATATATATATATATATATAATTCATTACATTTTATATAGCGCTTTTCTAGGCACTCAAAGCGCTTCACATTGTGGGGAGAGTCTCCTCATCCATCACCAATGTGCAGCATCCACCTGGATGATGCGACGGCAGCCATAGTGCGCCAGAACGCTCACCACACACCAGCTTATTGGTGGAGAGGAGACTGAGTGATGAAGCCAATCAGCAGATATGGGGATTGTTAGGAGGCCATGATGGTCAGAGGCCAATGGGCAAATTTGGCCAGGATGCCAAGGTCACACCTTTACTCTTTTCAAAAGACATCCTGGGATTTTTAATGACCACAGAGAGTCAGGACCTCGGTTTAACATCTCATCCGAAGGACGGTGCTTGTTGACAGTATAGTGTCCCCATCACTACACTGGGGCGCTAGGACCCACACAGACCCCTGCTGGCCTCACTAACACCTCTTCCAGCAGCAACCTAGTTTTTCCAGGAGGTCTCCCATCCAGGTACTGACCAGGCTCAACCCTGCTTAGCTTCAGTGGGCGACCAGTCTTGAGCTACAGGGTGACATAGCTGGGAACATATCTATATTAGTGCTGGGCAACAATTAAAATTTTTCATTGCGATTAATCGCCTGATTTTTCTGCAATTAATCACAATTAATCACATTGTTATGCACACAGTTCAATAATGAATTCAAAAGTGGTGTATTGCGCACACTTTTATTTTAAAAGTACTGCTATATGAACAGCTTAAACAATGAGGTCAAATTCATGATTAAGGTGGGGTTGCTTCGTTTTACATTCTGAAGTCCGATCGTTATACTCAGACTTTTGCACCCATATAAGTCAGGGAATGAGCACCCCCTGCTGGCTGGAATAAACTAGCTCCAGCAGCAAGCTAGTTTTTCACAACGGCCTACCAGCCATAAGGATGTGCTACCAGCTTCAAAAAGAAAACTAAGTCATATTCGTAACTGAGGTGGAGAATTCATGACAACAGAATGTCAGAAGGACAGTTTAATGCCTCATCTGCAGGATGCTCCTTTTTACAGTCTGAAGTCTGCGTTCAGCATTCAAGCCAGGGAATGATCACCCCCTGCTGGCTGAACTAAAACTAGCTGCAGCAGCAAGCTAAATTTTCACAAATGGTCTCCCACCAGTGTACTGACCAGGCTCTGGCCTGCTTAGCTTTAGTGAGGAACCAGACTCTGCCTACTGCATTCCACACCTGCATTCGTAGCCTCTGCCTTAATAAAGCTGCTCTAATAGAGGGGTAACGCATCCGGACACGCTCAAAGAGGATGGCGGCCATCAGGATGCGCTACCAGCTTAAACAATGAGGTCAAATTCATGATTAAGGTGGGGAACTAATGACAACAGAATGTCAGGAGGCCAGTTTAATGCCTCATCTGAAGGACGCTCCTTTTTAAAAAGGGCGGTTTAACGCCTCATCAAAATGTCGCCTCTTTTTACAGTCTGAAGTCCGTATCATTATACTAGGACTTTTGCACCCATACATGTCAGGGAATGAGCGCCCCCTGCTGGCCGGAATAAAACTAACTCCAGCATCAAACTAGATTTTATCAAAGGGTCTACCATCTACATAGAGGAAAGGCTCTGACCTGCTTAGCTTTAGTGAGGAGCCAGACTCGGGCTAATGCATGCAACAGGTGCATTTTAACTCCGTGGCTTGTTAAAGCTGTGTAATCACTTACCCCCATGTCGTTCCAAACCCGTAAAAGCTTTGTTCGTCTTCGGGAAAAGGTCCAGAAAAGTATGAAATACATTGTCAAAATAGTCCATCTGCCATTAGTGGTTCAATCTGAATTTTATGAAATACTTTTTGTACACGAAGAAAACAAAAATAACGACTTCATTCAAGAATTTGTCTCCTCTGTGTCTCTCCGCATCACCGTAGCCCCATTTTGGAGAACATCCGCTGAACGCAAGCAGCGTACACTCTTCTGTGTCAGCCACGACACAAGGATACGTCTTCTACGTGTATTTACACTTTGATTTGAATGAAAACAGCACATCCGTGCATACTTGAAGTTTATTTTATTAAGTATACTTAAGTAAAGTTTAAGTATATTTTAAGTATACTTAATGTAGTAAGTATACAAATATCAGTGTACTAGTAGTACACTTGTAAGTTTACTATTTCAGTACTCCTTGGGACCAAATTGGCCCACTTTCTAGTATATAAAAGTATACTTTAAGTATAACAGTAGTAAACTGAGTATACAAACAGTTTACCTCTATGTTTTTAGTTTGTACTGCAACTATACTAAAAGTGAACTTAAAGGTATACTGATGGTTTACTAATTAGATACTAATTAGATTTTTAGTACACTTTGAAGTATAGTCTCAGTAAACTAATAGTTTAGTAGTTTTATACTGCAAGTATACTTTTAGTTTTATAACTATACTATATAGTTTTATACTGTAAGCATTCTTTAAGTGAACTTTACATCATACTTTAAGTATACTACTATGTCCCTATTTAAGAATGTGTATATATTTTGTTATATGAATATCTGAACATACAAAACATCAAAAGAAAGAACAGGGTACCTGCTTGTAAACAAAAACATTTTATTCTAGCTTCATGCATTCTTTTTATAAACATTTGAATGTAAGTTTCATAAATAAAAAATAAAGAAACAACATTTTAAACAAAAAGCTAAAAAAAAATATAATCAAACCGTAGATGGAGTCCAAAAGCTTGACAGTCATTATTACCTCTTCATGGGTCAACATTTTATTCCACAACGTTACACAATTTTGATGCTGTTTTATGTCTGATGATCATGTTAGATTACTTGTGAAAGCATCTGTTGTTTTTCAGTTTCTTCTTCGCTGTTTCCGCGTTTTGGAAATTCTGTACAGAAGATGTGTAATGAAAACATTCTCGGAGCACAAGCAGGCTATAGCTCAAATAAATTTAGTGATTTAGTAAAAAAAAGTATGTCAAGTATACTTAAATATCATTTTAAGTATATTTCTGAGAGGTACATAAAGCACATTTCTGAGAAGTACATCAAAAGTAGACTGCAAGTATACTTTCCTATTTTTTAGTTTAAAAGAAGTATACTAATAGCACACTTGAATAAACTTCTTTTTCGTAAGGGTATGTCGCATTCTCATTGTATTTCTCAAAATTAGATTTTATATCTAAAATGTGACAATGCCACAAACCGCCCTTCTATCTCAATCTGCATTTATCTCAAAATATGACTATAATCTGACAATATATCTCACAATTTGTGTTCTGTGACTTAATGTCACTGTCACTTCATATTTCATAATCTGACTTGATATCTTATTTTTAAATCTTATCCTATTTTTATCTGTGTTATCTGAGATTTTAATTAAATGTATTAAATAATTTATTCTCCCTTGAACTCTAACACATTTATGAATAAATAAAAAAAATCCAAGAATGAATTAAATTCTCATTTATAAAACGAGTTTCTACTTGTGCATAGTCAGTTAGCAACTGTTAAAGCCAGAAGTCTTCTAGGCTAGGGTGTGTTTTAGACATGGGTATGTGGAACATTCATCAAAGCAAATTTGCTTCAGCTGCCAAATTAGTTAGAGAGTGCCGGTACATAATAATTTCCAGGTAATACCTATTTTCAGGTGGACTCAAGTCTGGGCTCTGGGCCATTACTGAATACTAACTGTCCTTTCTCATCTTTGTTTCCTCCTTTATGCTTTAGGTCATTGACCTGAAAACACAGACACTGAGAAAAAAAATCACTCTAAAATTGTTAGTAAATTTCACATGCAATGGCAAATAACACACTGAATGAAACATGACATTTTATAATGAAATATATAAATTTAATCAATTTAATAAATATATAATCATTTTTAATATGTATTTATTTTTATAGTGTACTATAAAATGAACTTTTGTAGAACTCTGGGTTACAGAAAGGTTTTTATTTTTATTTTCAAGCAGCATGATGCTGCTGCCTGTATGCCTGACAGTAGGGATGCCGTTATCAGGGTGTCAGGCTAAATTTGTTTGCGCCCCTCACTGTTTTATCGCATGGCTTCTAGCAAGCTAGTTAGTTTCCTTCTAGCCACTTTGTCAGAATAGAAGAAATAGGTCATTCCTGTTATGCAGTACAAACTTGTTTCTCGCGAGACTAGCATATTCTCACCGGAGCTTACGCTACACCTACGTACTATGCCATCCACTGGACACCACTCTCTCATGAATGCGCTTATGACAGTCAGTAGCCCCTCACTGTGGAACACAAGATCCAGGGAGCGTGGTTGGATCCACATCTACGGGTGGAGATTGGTAGGTTTAGGGGTGGAGATGGGTGGATTTAGGCATATGTAAGGTGGGAGGAGTTGGACCACGCCCCCTGGACTTATGTTCTGCAGTGAGGACCATCTCACGACAGTTAGCGGAAGCAAGAGATTAAGGTTTAGAATATTTTTCTTACACAAATGCATCGCTTCACTTCAGAAAGCTCTTCGGACCCCCTGGAGACGTGTGGACTTCTTTTATAATGGATGGGTGCAATTTTTTGGACTTAGGCTACCATCCACTCCCATTATAAAGCATGGATTAGCCTGGACATTATTTAATATAACTCCCGATTGTATTTGTCTGAAAGAAGAATGTCATATACACCTAGGATGGCTTGAGGGTGAGTAAATCATGGGGTAATTTTCATTTTTGGGTGAACCATCCCTTTAAATAATAGCAGAACATACATTTTTAAACTTAAATTAGAAATGTTGCCTTGGCAACCAACAGAAGCGGTTTAAGTTGAAAATGAAAAATCTAAAATATTATAATAAAATAAAATATTTTCAAACAAAAAATAATACAAACTACAAAAGTCCATAAAAACTTAAACTAAAACAAAAATGAATATTGAAAATCTTAATGAATACTGTAATACTTTATAATAATAATAAAATAACACTGGAACGCATAGTGTTTTGGTTTTACTTAAAGGGTTAGTTAGGTTTCACCCAAAAATTAAAATTCTGTGATTACTTACCCTCATGTCGTTCTAAACCCATAAACAAGAAGAAATTGTTGAATAAAGTTATTTTTGTTTTCTTTGCGCACAAAACGTATTCTCGTAGCTTCATAAAACTACGGTTGAACCACTGATGTCACATGGACTATTTTCACGATGTCCTACATTTCTGGGCTTTGAATGTGTCAGTTGGGTTGCCACCTACGCAGTAGATGAAATCCAAGAGTCAGAAAGCTCTTGGATTTCATCAAAAATATCTTAACTTGTGTACAGAAGATGAACAAAGGTCTTACGGGTCCGGAATGACATGAGGGTGAGTTATTAATGACAGAATTTTCATTTTTGGGTGAACCAACCCTTTAATTTTAGCATTCACATAATGGGAAATATTTTGGTAAAATAAAATACATGTCTTACAAAGGTAAGTGGCACAAAAAAAAGAAGACCTACACAAAGAAGAATACATGGAGAAACCAAATAAATAAACTATTGAAAACACAGAAACTGAAAGGTCATCCATCATGCAAAATGAAGTGTCTGCTTACTCGAGTAAGATTTTAGGATGGAAATATATTACTGCCACATAATAACAACATTCTCATATTCTATGATAATAATAATAAAAAATCTATTACTATAATACATCAATTCAGTTTGACTGTGTTCTGGTCAAACTGTTTCAAAAACTAAAGCACCCTAAAAATAAATTCTTAAAGTTTAGTAAATATTTTAATATTTAAAATACTGTAATTAATATTGTGCTCTGGTTAAATTCTTACGAATCCTTACATTTTATTGTATGATTCCAATATTTCAATCTTTTTAAACAATGAACATGAACAAAACAGTTAAATAAAATGACAAAATGTCAGGATTGTGACAGCCCTGTTCATATCCTCCTTTTAAAGAGGAAATCAAAAATCAGCTTGGTTAATAAACACAGCACTGTGCACAGCAAATTAGCCACGGGATGAAAGATGACTTTATAGCAATGCCTCTTCCTGCAAACCACACTATTTTAGACAGTGAAGCAGAGGGGTGTGGGTTTAATAAGCATGAATTTCTGAATTCACTGTGTCTGTCATGAGACTCTGTTCCCCTTTTGGGCTCTGTCTTTACATTTATTTTGAAAGATGAAGCCCGCGATTATGGTAAGGGGCGTTACATTTCCGACGAGTGCTTGCGGTGTTCGGCCAATCACAATGCACTGGGTCAGCTGGCCAATCAGAGCAGACTGCGCTTGTCGGAAGGAGGGACTTTGTAGAAAACTAAGCGTTTGAGAGAGGCGGGGCATAGAGGACCTACAATAATGTACAGTATTTGAAAAATAATGTGTTTTTTGAACATTAAAGCATGTCAACATATTCTGTTACACCAAATACACAAAATAATGATTTTTAAAAAAGCATCATATGACCCCTTTAATAATAAACCCTTCATTGATTTAAATGAGGAAGTTTAATCAAACAGCATTATTACCAGACTGAAATTTCAGACACTTTTTGTGCCGAAAGCAAACCTTTTAACCAATTTTGTGTAGTGCCACTCACCACATGCTACATAGTCTCCATTAGATGCCAGACCCACAAAGTTCTTCTCGTTGATGTGGCCTTTAAAGGAGCGCAAACAATGTGGCTTGTTCACATTCCAGAGTTTCAGCTGGCTGTCTGTTGATCTGTAAGGGATGTTACAATTGAACTCAGAAGTTTGGTTTTCAACTTGAGTTGTTCAGATTTCTAATGGTGCAGTTTGGTGCAGTTCTATTTGAATAGGGATGCAAATTTAAGGAAATTCAAGGATGATATGATAACCAATATTTTGTAACACAGTATGCTTATACCATTCCAATAGCTGATGTTTTGTTTAGGTTAAGTAACGTGATACTGCAATACAGCATTAAAAATGGTACCATAAGATGTTTTTTTCCAAGAACTGTTTTATCCCTATTAAACAAATTATTACACATTAACTTCTTTCCACTGACTTTTACACTCGAGACATAAGACATTTTCCATTGATACAGGATAAAAAGCACAAGAAATTTCAGTGCATACATACGCAGACACAATCTCTTCTCCGTTAACAAATTTGGCATATGACACTGCTTTCCTGTGGCCTTTGAAAACCATGATGGGCTGCTTAGTGTTTCTCAGGTCATAGTAGTGCACACAGTGGTCTGGAAAAGATTTAGAATGAATTGAAAAGTTTTACGATTTTAGCGGGAAGTAAAACTTTTAATAGATCGATTCAAATAAATGATGCACCTGCACAACCAAAGGCGAGGTGATATCGAGAGGATGGACTGAACTTGACACAGCATACATTGGCCTTCGCTTCAATGCTGGCTACTGAATTGTCCAGGTTGGTGGACCACAACTTGACTGGGGAAAAATAGAATTCATTCTTAAGTATTTATAGAAGAATATCTCTGTAAGAATCTAAAATCAAATAACTTGATCGGAACAATTCAGTTGCAGAAATACCTTTTGCATCATCCGATCCTGATGCTAACAGCTTGGGATCCATAAGGTTGAAATCAACACTCCAACACCGCTTTTCATGCTCCTGTGGAAATTAATTTTGCAAGTCAGAATCCAACTTAGATTAAGTCTAAAGGAACTGCAATGTATACACAAACGTACATATTGAATTCAAACTTAACCAGTTTGTCAAATATTTAATTTAGTAAATTAAACGGTTACACTTTACTTGAAGGGGTGTGCATAAGACTGACATGACACCTTCATAATCATGACCAAGTCAGTTTGTCAAATATTTAATTTAGTAAATTAAACTTTAGATTCTTTTGTACACAATGTACAGCAATTATTTTCTACAAACAAATTCATAATTTTATTGAGCAAGTATGCATTAAATTGATTAAAAGTGACATATATAATGTTATAATGTTACAAAAGATATATATTTTTTGTATTTTAAATATTATAACAAAAGATAACAAGTGGATCGGTAGTAGTTTGTGAGTTAAGAAGGAACATTTTAAAAATTGCTCTCCTACTGAAAGGGGTATAAGATTAATGAATGTCATCTGGCACTGTCTGACACATAAGGTTACCTGGTAGACCTTTGACCTCTGTCCCGTGAACCCATCCCAAAGAATGACAGTCCCCTCATAGTCGCTGCTCGCTAACAGATTTTTATGGTAGCTACTCCAGCTGATACAGCTGGAAAAAGACAAGACAGAAGAAAATGTGACATTCTATTGTACTGCTGCAAAATCCACCAAGAACATTCAGGCCAACCCGATTTCCGACACTCTTTATACCTAATTTTAGAGTTACATGTCATCTCGTTGACAGGATAATGAATGTCCACAGCATCCTGGATCACAGTGCCATACTCAAACACTTTAATTTTCTTAGTGACACCGGCAATGGCAAAGTAATCACAGTCGCGGTCAAACTCAATGCTGCAAAAGAGGGGAAAGAGAGGACACAGAACAAGTGTTAGCACAGTGAGTACTCCTGACTGTGCATGCTCAATTATCTGCTCTATTTCCACTCAAACTCAGACACTGAAAGAGACAAGAGTTGTAATGCATCCAAACAGCCTCTCAGACGCTTAGGTGATCAGATATAAGTATGTCTGAAAAATGATGGTGTGATAAAATAAGCACTTTTTTATACTAGCCGAGCGAGGTTCTTTGGCTGGTTGAGGATTGGTGTAATATATCTGAACATTACAAAACATCGAAATAATGGTTGGTTTTTGAGCCAATGATTATATTCGTAAACCCAATAATAGGCTTGGGAATTGAGAACTGAACCAAATGATTTTCAAGTCGTTTGGATTCTATAACTGTCTGCCATTTTTCACTGATGCGGAAGAAACACCATTCTAAAACATTCAGATCATGTTTCCTGCACTGTTGAATCTATAAAAAAATGGTTTAAACCTAGCTGAGCTTACAGTCTGAACCTAATGTGATAAAAGAAAAAGACTAAGCATCCAAAAAAATATATACTCTACTGTTCAAAATTGAGGATTTTTAAAATGTTTTTAAAAGAAGTCTCTTCTGCTCACCAAGGCTGCATTTATTTGATCAAAAACACAGTAAAAACAGTAGTACTGCGAAATATTATTTCTGTTTGAACATGTGTTAAAAAAATTTTTTTTCCTGTAATGGCAAAGCTGAAATTTTAGTCATTACTCCAATCTTCCTTATCACATGATCTTTTAGAAATAATTTTAATATGCTGAAATCCTGAATAAGATGAAATCAGTGCTGCTTAATATTTTTAGCTTAGGATTCTTTGATGAATATAAAGTTAATAACTTTATAAATGTCTTAACTGTAATTTTTGATCAAAAAGGAATATAATGCACCCTTGCTACATAAAGTATTAATTTCTTTCAACAAAAATAAATAAATAAAATAAAATATCTTACACACCCCAAAGTTTTGATCACTACTATAATAAAAAAGTAATCTTGTCATCAAACCCCGCAACAAGCATACAGCTAGACCTGTAGTTCAATTTCTGAAAATATTACTGTTAATGTGTTATGATTTACTCAAGTTTTATCAGAATGAATCGGTGTAATTTCTGACTTATTAACGAGAATGCACAGTTAAAGATACACATTCGGACATTTTGTTGTAATTGATGATACTTCATGGAACACGGATGAGAATCATGAGCAATTATATATATTATAAGCTGGCCACAATTCCAGCTTTTTTAAAATAGATGGTACTCAAAATTAACACAGTCAATATCTGTGATGTTATTCAGTACTACAATACTACCCTCTGCTGGTTACTTCAAGAATGGAACTGAACAAGGACTAAAGTGTGGTCTGAACTTCAATTTTTGCAACCTTACCTGGACACAATACTGGAGCCATTATAGAGGTCACTAGCATAAGATAGGGTGGCCAGAGGCCTCACAGAGTTGTAACGTGTAAATTTTGATAGACACTCCATGAAATCATCCAGTTGGTTAACAGTCCTGCTGTCATCTATTAACAAGAAAAGCAACTGCGTTGAATATAACAGATTTTTAAAGACTTGTATAAACAAATATACTAATACTTTTTATGAATAGATACACAATATATATTGCTTTGAATCAACCAACCTGTTATCCGAGACATCCTATTGGAGAAATAACACTGTTCCAGATCCTCAAAGTGTGCCGTCAATCTCTTTCGTCGTGACGCCAGAGTGCTGTTGTACCAAGTTTGTCTTTTACTCTAAAAGTAAAAACAACAACAAACAGTGAATATCAGCATTACTCAAATGGATATAAACCAGCCATAACAGCAAAGATTCAAAAATTCACGAAAAAATAAAAATAATAATTTACCTGTGAGCTTCCACCAAAAGGGTGTTGCATGTATTCTGTGGGGTCTATTATGCTACTGCTGGAGACAGAAACAAGATATTATTTATTAAATGGAAAAAATATAGCATAATTGTCAATAATTAGATTGTCATCACATGTATATGATTTTAGACTTTTTTCTTATTTTTTTCCCCATTAATTTATTTATGTGAAATATTGCATATACCTGCATAGTTGATCTTACCTGGGTGCAGGAGAGGGAGCTTCAAACTGGGGTACAGTACTGTCTAAATTGGGGTCCATTTCACTCACTGTGTACATACCGATGCGGAAGAAACACCATTCTAAAACATTCAGATCATGTTTCCTGCACTGTTGAATCTATAAAAAAAATGTTTAAACCTAGCTGAGCTTACAGTCTGAACCTAATGTGATAAAAGAAAAAGACTAAGCATCCAAAAAAATATATACTCTACTGTTCAAAATTGAGGATTTTTAAAATGTTTTTAAAAGAAGTCTCTTCTGCTCACCAAGGCTGCATTTATTTGATCAAAAACACAGTAAAAACAGTAGTACTGCGAAATATTATTTCTGTTTGAACATGTGTTAAAAAAATTTTTTTTCCTGTAATGGCAAAGCTGAAATTTTAGTCATTACTCCAATCTTCCTTATCACATGATCTTTTAGAAATAATTTTAATATGCTGAAATCCTGAATAAGATGAAATCAGTGCTGCTTAATATTTTTAGCTTAGGATTCTTTGATGAATATAAAGTTAATAACTTTATAAATGTCTTAACTGTAATTTTTGATCAAAAAGGAATATAATGCACCCTTGCTACATAAAGTATTAATTTCTTTCAACAAAAATAAATAAATAAAATAAAATATCTTACACACCCCAAAGTTTTGATCACTACTATAATAAAAAAGTAATCTTGTCATCAAACCCCGCAACAAGCATACAGCTAGACCTGTAGTTCAATTTCTGAAAATATTACTGTTAATGTGTTATGATTTACTCAAGTTTTATCAGAATGAATCGGTGTAATTTCTGACTTATTAACGAGAATGCACAGTTAAAGATACACATTCGGACATTTTGTTGTAATTGATGATACTTCATGGAACACGGATGAGAATCATGAGCAATTATATATATTATAAGCTGGCCACAATTCCAGCTTTTTTAAAATAGATGGTACTCAAAATTAACACAGTCAATATCTGTGATGTTATTCAGTACTACAATACTACCCTCTGCTGGTTACTTCAAGAATGGAACTGAACAAGGACTAAAGTGTGGTCTGAACTTCAATTTTTGCAACCTTACCTGGACACAATACTGGAGCCATTATAGAGGTCACTAGCATAAGATAGGGTGGCCAGAGGCCTCACAGAGTTGTAACGTGTAAATTTTGATAGACACTCCATGAAATCATCCAGTTGGTTAACAGTCCTGCTGTCATCTATTAACAAGAAAAGCAACTGCGTTGAATATAACAGATTTTTAAAGACTTGTATAAACAAATATACTAATACTTTTTATGAATAGATACACAATATATATTGCTTTGAATCAACCAACCTGTTATCCGAGACATCCTATTGGAGAAATAACACTGTTCCAGATCCTCAAAGTGTGCCGTCAATCTCTTTCGTCGTGACGCCAGAGTGCTGTTGTACCAAGTTTGTCTTTTACTCTAAAAGTAAAAACAACAACAAACAGTGAATATCAGCATTACTCAAATGGATATAAACCAGCCATAACAGCAAAGATTCAAAAATTCACGAAAAAATAAAAATAATAATTTACCTGTGAGCTTCCACCAAAAGGGTGTTGCATGTATTCTGTGGGGTCTATTATGCTACTGCTGGAGACAGAAACAAGATATTATTTATTAAATGGAAAAAATATAGCATAATTGTCAATAATTAGATTGTCATCACATGTATATGATTTTAGACTTTTTTCTTATTTTTTTCCCCATTAATTTATTTATGTGAAATATTGCATATACCTGCATAGTTGATCTTACCTGGGTGCAGGAGAGGGAGCTTCAAACTGGGGTACAGTACTGTCTAAATTGGGGTCCATTTCACTCACTGTGTACATACCACTCATTTCCTAAAATAAAAATCATATGTGTCAGATGTACACTACTTTTCAAAAGTCTGAGGTCAGTAACACTTTTATTTAGCAAAAACATTAAATTGATTCAAATCGACATTAAAGAAATGTATAACATTATACAAACGTTATAAAACATTATAAAATTTAATTTAAAAAAAAATCTACAAATAATAAGCAGCAGCACAACTGTTTTCAAGAGTGATAATAATTATATTAGAATATTAGAGCATATTAGAATAATTTCTGAAGGATTAATGTAATGGCTTTGCCATCCCAGGAATAAATTACATTTTAAAATACAAATAGAAAACAGTAATTTTAAACTGTAATAATATTTTATAATATTCCTGTTTTTACTGTATTTTTCTATAAACACAGCCTTAGTGAGCATGAGACGTCTTTCAAAAACATTTAAAAAAATCTCACCAGCCCCAAACTTTTGAATGCTAATGTAAAACGGTATATGTGACCCTGGACCACAAAACCAGTCATAAGGGTCACATTTTTGAAATTGAGATTTATACAGCATCTGAACGCTGAATAAATAAGTTTTCCATTGATGTATGGTTTGTTAGGATAGGACAATATTTGGTCAAGATACAACTATTTGAAAATCTGAAATCTGACGGTGCAAAAAATCTAAATACTGAGAAATTCACCTTTAAAGTTGTCCAAATAAAGTTCTTAGCAATGCATATTGCTAATCAAAAGTTTTGCTATATTTACGGTAGGAAATTTACAAAATATCTTCATGGAACATGATCTTTACTTAATATCCTAATGATTTTTGGCATGAAAGAAAAATCGATAATATTGACCCATACAATGTTTTTTTTGGCTATTGCTAAAAATATACCCAAGCGACTTAAGACTGGCTTTGTGGTCCAGCGTCACACATACATACATACATACATATATATATATATTATATATATATATACACACACATATTACAAGTACATAATATCTCTATGCTAGACCACAAACAAATTCTGGATCTCCATATTAAACTGACCTCAACTCGTTTGATATCCTCCTCCAAAAAATTCAGTTCTTTTTGTAACTGCTCCAGTTGCTGTTGAAGTACAGACAGGGAAACTTTAAATTAAAGACCTCATTGCTGTTAACAGTGCATTATTCAACATTTTAAAAATAGATGTGGAGGCTTAACCTCTCTTTTATTTCTTCTGGCTTCTTTCAGGAACTCCATTAATATCTGGCGCTGAGCAGCTTGTGATTCCTGTAGACCGAGATCATTGATGGATCAGCAAGAGAAATGCAATTGGTCTTTATGAGGCATAGCAGGGGATTTTGTTCCCCCTTTATAAGAAAAATGATCGTGGCATCAACAATTAACCACACTTCCGGGCTCTTCAACAGACATTTGTCTCTGTCTCTAATGATCTTTTAAGCATTATATAATCAAATTATGCTTGTTAAAGTTAATGAAAGTTACTATAAATTGACACCTATGATTTATAGTGAATATATATATATATATATTCAGTATTTTAATGTATTGGTCAAGTATAACTAAAATGTATGATCAAGTCTGAGAAATTTGGCCTTTAAACTCAAAACTACATAGGAGTGCAGTGTGTGTATTTGCTGTTTAAATTTCACCACACAATAATATTTGACCAATTACTGGATTTGATTGACTTATGCCACTTAAAAAAACACATTTTATCAGGGTTACAAAATTTTTATTTGCCTATGCTTCCACAAGGCCTGTGCCATGCACAAGTGGTCAAATAGTTGGTTATGTTTAATTAGGCCTTATTTTTGGTCAAATAAATTAATTGGAATTCAAAACCAGTCACAACTTCAGGGTTTGTGTGATCAGAATGTGTCAAATTTGGTTTATTTTAATCCAATTAAAAACAGCATAAATCTACAGAATTACAATCTCTATGAATCTTGGGTGTTTCAACAACCTAGGCATCACTTTTAGGTCATTTTCAGCGCAATGTGAATGAAATGATAACATAAAGCAGCTGAACTCAGGGTGCCTGAAGAAACCGGAAGTGTTGGGTCTGGCAACAGTAATGTTATGTGATGATGTGTACCAACCGCCTCCAGTTGTTTCTTTTTTTGCAACAGGTATTCTAATATGTAGTTGACATTCGCTAAATCCATATTCTCTTGATCTGCACCAAGGACATCTTGAAAAACCTGCCATTTGGTTCCATTCTATAAACAGCATATGAAACATGAACAATAAGACATAATTTAATGTGGTACAAACTATCTGTAACAGTTGATCAAATTTGTTGAAATAGTTTCCACTCATTATACAAACAGAAAGCTGGATGCACTTACAGGGTGATCCCGTTTCAGACGCTTCTCTTCAGATCTTTGTTTTTGTTTTAGGATCAGTTCATTCACTGAAAACCATTAGAGAATCATGTCAGCTAAGCAATCCATAAGACTGAAAAATCAGCCAAATGTCTGTCATAAAATCGTATTGTAGGTGGTAACAATCCAAATTTGATGTTATCAAATTTGAAAAGTAATTAACACATTATTAGAATAATATTAGCATACACATACCTAAGAAGTTGGGGTAGAGTTGATCCACATTATCAATTATATAATTACATTTTGGGCATCTGTTGCTGTCCTCCAAACTCTGTCGTATACATTTATAACTAGATAGAAATGAAGACATGATTGTTTGAGTATGCAAGTGGGTTGGAAAATGCACATGATAAACTCTCAGTTTAGAGAACAAGTGCTTCTCACCAGAAACTGTGGCCACACTTTGTCATGTGAGCTTCCTCTATCATCTCAAAACATATAGGGCTGTTAAAAAAAGAAAGAAAACAGTTAGAATAAGGACACATGCAAAGCTTGCTTCCCTTTTACAATAAATCAACAAAAAGCTGAAACTTGACTGGTGTTTTGAATTAGACATTGGGGTTTAAAAGACTGCTGACTTTTGAGATTGTATACGAGTTTAAGTGTCAGATAAACAAGTTCAACTTGTATTATTTTCTTACTTCAGTGGGATTGTTGATCAAATAAGTTGAATCAGTCTCTAACATTATGTCTAATATCTCCTTTTGTGGTCCACAGAAAAATGTTCATACACGGTTGAAAACAACATGATGGTGAGTAAATAATGACGGACTTTTGGGAGAATTACCCCTTTGTTGACAATTATCTTTATTCTAGGAATTACAGGATTAAGTGCGGAGAAAATCACAGGATTTGCCAGATAAACCTGCAATTAAACCCGCACGTTGGAAATTGTTCAAAACAAGCACACTAAAACGGAACTATTAAGTGGATTTAGCCCTCTGCAACCTCGTGAGAGAAGGTGAATCTACTTACCATACAAAATCATTACTCTTGTCCTCATAGGGATTGATCAGGCCGTTGTGCAAGGGTCTTTTCCTACTCGACGAGCCTAGTCGAGCGCTCTGTCCCTCGGCAACCGTGCCCAAAGTCCGCGAGGACACCCCGTTACTCGAGCTGTTCCCGTTCTGAGCGCCGCAGCTCCCGCTGTTCGCTCCACCTGCGCTACTGCTACTCATACTTCCAGAGCTCGTCCCGGGGACGGACCCCGCTGAACCGCCAGACTGCTGCTGTTGCCGAGTGTTTGACATGATTGAAGCCGTTCGTGCACGTCGGAATGCCAGAGCTGAAGGTAAAACTGCGGGGCTTCACCGCATCCGGGCGGCTGTGGGAGATACGCTAACTAGCTAAAGCGACACAGATGAGAGAAAAGAGCCAGAAACTTCCACCAAGCGAACTGCTAGCACTGAAAGGCGCTTATTTGAGCACGGCTGAGGCGGTTCTTCTGCATGCAGGAGGTTCTCATTGGGTCTGCTCGATGCTAATGTGGATATGCAGCCCCGCAGAGATTTGTTGACAACTCTGAGAGCTTTAGAAATTTCAATCCACTGTCTGCTGCAGGATGTTCACGCGAGAATTTCCCCGAATGAAACGTTCGCGTGACTCGGCACCGGCACCCGTTGGCTTGGAGGAAAACTGCAGGTATCAATCAAAACTATTTTTTTCCAAACAAATGGTTATGAAATTCTTCATTTTAACCAACCATCGTAGATTAAATCATCCAGAAACATCCGAGTACCGTCACCACCGTCCTTTTACAGCAATATATCTTCTTAAAACACACCGGCTTCAGGTGTGAGTCCAGTTTATGTTTTGTAGAGCAAAAGAGGAAGCTTTCATCTAATTTTACTTAGAATTTTTTTTAAATGGCTCTTGCGATTTTCCAGGCTATCAACTAAACAGCGTATGTGTACGAACAGTCAAACACAAATTTCTAATGCATATTAACTGTCACTTTTGTTTTTACTTATAACCATTATGTTTGTTTTAAGTGTACATTTAGGATGCTTGGGGTCTCCGTAGACCCCAGACAGTAAATTTTAACTTAATAATTAGCCTAACTTTTTAACTTAAAACTTAATAATGTATTTTAAAACAGTTGAGCAGTTTTGTAAATTTATTTTGTAAAGTTGGCCTCAGTTTGTAATAATTTAAATATATACATTTGCATAAAATAGTAACATTTTGTTCAATTCAGTTCAATTCAAATTTATTTGTATAGTGCTTTTCACAATACAGATTGTTTCAAAGCAGCTTTACAGAAAATGCATGTGTCTACATTACAATGAGTGATCTGTTATCAGAAGTGAATGTGTCCAAGTAATGTTCGTTTAACAAATAAACAGTTCAAGGTAATAGAATCATACAGTTAGCTAACATGAATTAATTTCAGGCAGAAGCTTGTTAAAGCGATTATTACAAGTGTGATCATAATGATTACAATATAGAGAAAATTTGGCTGCTGTGCATGTCGATTCAATTTGCCATCATCTGGGGTCCTCGCAGGGGTCAACAATCTCTTCAAAGGTGTTGGGTCATCTGAAGTCTTTCTATGAGGCTGGATCCACGCTGGAGCTGGTGTAATCTAGATATCTCGAGATGGTCATCACAGGGTAGGAACCGAACCGAAAAACAAAGAGTTAGTAAAAGACTTCGCGTAGCTGCTGTTCATAACGTTTCAAGCCAAGTTTGTGACTTTTATCTGATCTAACTGGGAACAAGGGTGAGATTGAGATTCATTATGTGAATGCTTGGCTGAAGAGATATGTCTTTAATCTAGATTTAAACAGAGAGAGAGTGTGTTTGAGCCCCGGGAATTATCAGGAAGACTATTCCAGAGTTTAGGAGCCAAATGGGAAAATTATCTCAATCCTTTAGTGGACTTAGATATCCTAGGTACTACTAGTCCAGAGTTTTGTGACCTTAAAGAGCGTGATGGATTATAGGGCATAAGAAGATCAGTTAAATATACAGGGGCTAAACTGTTTAGTGCCTTATAGTTCAGTAGCAATATTTTGAAATCAATACGGAACTTAATAGGTAACCAGTGTAGAAATGATAAAATTGGGGTAATATAATCATATTTTTTTGACCTGGTAAGAACTCTAGCAGCTGCATTTTGGACTAACTGTAGCTTGTTTATTGAAGATGCTGGACAACCAGCTAGTAGTGCAATGCATTACAGTAATCTAGTCGAGAGGTCATAGAGGCATGAACTAGCATTTCTGCGTCAGAAACAGATAACATGTTCCATAGCTTAGCAATGATTCTGAGGTGGAAGAAGGCTGTTTTTGTAACATATGAAATATGATTTTCTAAAGATAAGTTGCTGTCTAATTTAACACCCAGGTCTTTAACTGCAGATGATGACATAACAGTACATCCTTCTAGTAGCAAATCGTATTCCAAGAGATTCTGTGTGCAGGTTTTTGGCCCAATAAATAATACCTCAGTCTTGTTTGAATTTAATAGCAGAAAATTGCTGATCATCCAGTGTTTTATATCTTTAACTTTAACTTGTAAACTTGGATAGTTTAGAAATTTCATCTGGTCGTGGTGAATATATATAACTGAGTATCATCGGCATAGCAGTGGAAACTTGAAACATGAAAAATGTGACAGTTTTTAGTGGAAGATTGGTGTTATCTATAGAAAAACAAACACTTTTAAAATTTAAAATAATATGAAATTTTAACTACAGCCACAAGACGGCTGCAGAGGATCACTCAATGGCTCATTTGCCATTTCCACATAGATAATACATTTTTTGAAGTTATTTTTTTAGAAAAATCATTATACCATTATAAAAAAATTACTTTTTGTCAAAGTTTAGAATTTTTTTATACTGAAGTATCTTTTATATTTCAACTTGTGTAGTCCCACACTTTCGTTTCTTATGAGTGGTTTTGTGGTTTTTTTTGGGGGGTTGTTGTTTGTATGTTTACTTCTTCATGGTTGTGTGTTTAGTCCTTTTCTGTGTGTATTCTGTATTGAAACCAAATTTTTGACAAATTATGTAACAGCAATTTTTCATAGTCTCGCATTAATTTCTGTCTGTGATTTTTGGGGGTGGGGTGTTTGTGAGCATGAGCCTTTCACATTGTGGATGTGTTCTGTGTTCTGTATTTGTGTTCTGTTTTGTGGCTGATTAGTGATTTTATTTGAAAAAATAAAATGTGGGGTCAGATTATCCTGAGAGGGACTTTTTTTGTCGACAAATTTTAAAACATTAGGCACTTTAATTAGATTAGATGTCTGTCTTTGATATTAATGGGCAATGCAGGAAAATGAGTAACAAATCCCAGCTGTCCACCTCCCGCCCGCCAACACACACATATGCACACACACTTGTCATATGGATACAAGCACACAAAATAGATATATGATGCACTTACAAATATTTAGCAATTATAGTGCATTTAATGACTGAGACCGTACTAAAGGAGCCACTTTATTAATTTACCACATAATGTTAAAATGCTAACATTATTGAAATATAAAGCAGTTATTTATTTATTTATTTTTGAATATTTTTTTTTTTCAGAACATCAAGAAAAGTGTTTAAAAGACCCCATATAGTCCTGGCTTGTTGAAGATGAACTGCATCAACTCCCTCTGCAGTAAAATCCACTGAGAACTGCATCAACTCCATCTGCAATAAAATCCACTGAGACGTGTTTTTGAGGTATATCTAGAACATAAGGAGGAGAAATAAAGAAAAAAATGCCGTCAGATGCTCACTCCGAATAATCCAATCTTAAAGCCAAGCAGCCATGACTAACTAGGAAATGACGTTATAGTTCACACAGTGCACACCTGCTTTCATCACTGTATCTTTTCAAATATCTATTCTGTGGAATTATTTACCCTCTCATGGAAGTTATTTGTGTCTCCCAAGTGATAGAATAAAAGTTTTGTCACTGGTTGAAAATTTACTAAATATCTGCAACGGATTTATAGTGACTATTTTTGATTTTCTAACTCTGCTTATGAGGGATTGAGGGTTGCCTTTGGACTAGGCTTTTTTTTTTTTTTGTCTAGCACATCAGGTTGGATTTTCCCATTGCCTTTCTGGTCATTTAGAACTTGGTAGGGGTAGGGCAGCCTCAAATGTAGGATAATCTCTTAGAGGTCCTTTGCAGTGGGGGGTGAGGCCCGGGAGCGACCATTCACTTTTTTTTTACACACAGTTGCAGCTGTATCTCAAAGCTCTTTGATACAAAAAAGCTGAATGTTTTGCAGGCAGATCCTTGGGCTGGTTGCGGAATTCTTACCTCCCACTGTTAGGGCCCTTTCTACCCCTGAAGGGGCCCCTGCCATAACTGTTAGTTACCCCAAGTCGGGGCTGTTAGCAAATTGAGCCTGACAAAAACGGTTAGGCAAAAACTGGTACGTTTTGGAAATTAAACAGTGGCATGTCTAACTTTTTGACCATTGCGGTGTGAGGTGTTGTATGTGGTTGCTGAGTTGTTTGCGGTCACAGATTTACTCATTTGCAAGTCACATCACTCTATATGCACCTGCAGTGCTGAATGCCATTCAGGGCTATTATTCACTGTACAAAACAGTAAAAATACTCTGACCACATATGAAAATGTGGCAGGCAAACTCTGATATGTCCTTCATTTATGTGTTTGAACTCTCAGCTGAAAGTGTGAATTCATGGATACTTTTGGATAGAAATATAGCACATTGGCATTAATGTAAGTAGTTTAAAGTGATTGTACAATGGCACTTCATGATTCTGAATAGAACTAGATGGCTAAGTCATTCCCTATCAGTTTAGATCCTTTACATGAGAAGAAACAGGACATTACACAAGTTGTAGGAATGTTTGGCACATTAACACGTAATGTGCAGTTTATTCTACGTTAAGTTTCTACTTAAAGTTATCATTGGTCATTATAATGATAAGGGGGACCACTACAGCTTTCCCTAACTGCATGTTTTCATATGACTGGAGCTTAGCCCAACGACTGTAGTACACTAACTGCACAATTCATATATCAAAAGAAAAAAAAATCACATTAGTAATTTAAGTTGACTTGCAGTATGAATTTACTTGATGATAAAACTCAAGACCAGAACAAACGGCTCTCTTGGATTTTATTAGTATGAGAACTCTCATAGGATGCACTGCGAGGAAAAATCACCGGAAAGATGCAAACTTCCACGCAGGAAAAATTGAGGCACAGCACAGAACAAGCAGAAATAGATTTTGTTATATTAAAATATTATATCATGTATTAGATTATGCAGTCATCTCCCTACAGCCGTTTCATAACTGAACACCATTGTAAGGAAATTCAGCTGGTTCAAAGTGTATTTGTTTCAGTGCTTACTAGTAACAGACTACATCTTGAGTTTTTTTTCCTCATGAATAAATTACAGATACCTGACTAATTTACTGATACATTTTAAAAGAGCAGTCGGAGCTAGAGGCTGAATTGTGTTCGGGAACCTTTCTGTAGAAAGGGAAAGGGGGGCAGTTAGATATGAACTGCTACTCACATTGACAATTCCCTCCAAACATTAATGTCTTATAGAAAAATTTTTTTTATTTGTTTACTAGTCTAACTTGAAAGGAGTTTTTTTCTGCTATTAATGCCATTAAAAAGTATAAGCAGGTTCTTTTTGTCAGATTAGATGTTTTTTTTTCCCTTTTGTTCTTTGACAAATATAAGAATGTTAACAATGGTCTTATTATTGTATGAGAATGAATCTAATAGCTACTTTGTTGTATAGTGGCTATATATATACAAATTCCAAAGATTTGGCCTTTTAACTGTTTATTTACTAGTTTAAAATTGTATTTAGTATTTTAAAAGCCATGGATAATGTTTGATATTTCAAGGATTAATTGTGGAATTCAACATTTCCAACATGCAGGTAGAAAAAGGATCAGGATCATAATATTAATTTATTTTTTAAATAAATCCGTTTTACTTAAATAATTGTTCTGTTGGGGAAAATCAGATCCACCTGACTATTTGCTTTTCATTCCCACAGCATCTTTAAGTAATTTCTGTTAACTTCTCCTTAAGAGAGTGTTCTGGAATTGCTCATAGGTTCATCCTTGTTGTTCAGTGTTTACACATCTCTCACTTGTCTTTTCCTACATATGCAGTGTTTCAGTCCTGCTTCACATGTCAGGCAGATGTGCTGTCTCTTGCATTACAGTACCAAAGTAGGTGTAGCAGCTAGATGTCAATGGCACTAGGGGAGAAAGTGAGAGTGGATGCATGCATGCAAGAGCTGGGTTGGACCTGGGTGAAGTTTTCTTTCCTAATGGTTGGGTAGGGGGCTGGGTTTGTGATGTCAGGCTGGAGGAAACAGATAAAACGTTTAGCGCGTTAGTTTGATCTGATGTGGAGATGTGGAGAGCGCGTGCAACGGGACTGAGCATGGGAATATAGACACACACGGAGCGCAAGAGGAATCTCCCCGCCATCTCAAGGTGATCCAAAGAGCCGTTTTCACTTGGACCAGCATGCCAAAAAGACAAATCTCCTTTCAGTACCTTCACTTTCTTGGATATTGATCCATATTTTGAGAAAATAAAATCTTTTAAGCGGACTTTCACAGCTCCCTGATATCTGAAACACTCCACTGTTAGAATAGACCTCGACAGACCTTTTATTTGACCGTTTTGGCGGTTTATTCGCAGAACAAAGCGTGACCGCGAGCATTTGCAACCGACCCATTGCGCGCCGGTGAAAGGTGGCAATCTCAAATAATCTTTATCCAGCGTTACACCTCTCCAAACAACCTTACACTGTACAGACAGCAAGCTATGTAAGTCTGCAACCAAACGCGATATTATCGCTTTCATTTGACCACAATGAGGACACATTATTGCGCGCGTAACTGAACTGTAAGTGAATGACAATTAGGCTTTTACGCAGTCATTGCGTGCTAAAAAGGAAGCTTTGAGGGGATCCCCGAGACACGAGATGTTTTGTTTGAACCTGAGCACTCAAGAGGCAGGGAGGAAAGATTTAAAGTATACAGTTTGCTCTATCCAGTTACTTAAATGTTAAATTAAGAGAGGAACAGTCTATCCATGCACTGACAATTTCGAGTTCCCTTGTCATTACAATTTCTTTTTGAAAGACAAGTAAAATAGAAACTCATTAACACACATATTGTAACTTAAAACACAATTTATGCTTTCATTAATTAAGAAAAGGCACCAAAACTATTTAAGCGAATTAACTATTAGCTCCCTTCCCAAGTGCAATTCAAAACAAACAAACAAATAGATGTCCACTCTTTGAAAGCTGCAGCTTCACCTCAATAAAATGATGTTTTTTAGACTACTGGCTATTATTCTTGCAATATTTCACACATGGCCGCTGAACAGGGCTCAGCCAGATCATCTCCAGAAGTATAAGCGGACACTGGCACAGAGAGCGAACCGAGCGCTTGCTGGAGAGCAGTGCGGCTCAATCAGCCGCAAGCGACCGCTGCACTCCGCGGCGCAGCAGTACCCTCTAGCGGGCGTCGCTGGAAGGTACACTCGCCTGATAGACTTGCACTTGAGGAAAACTAAAACGGTGAGGTCGTGTTCAGGTGAGTGCAGCTCTAGTGGCACAAATACGGTTGCATTAACTAACTTGGATATTAATGAGAAGGTAAAATATGAGGAACCACAAGAAGAGACTTTCATATGGAAGAAAGCAGGTAAACAGCCACAGGAGGCCACTGATCCTGGCTCTACTAAGTCACACAAACCCCTTCAATCCATATCAAAAGGACACCCTTTACAGGCAGAACAGGGTGGTGATTTGACAGACAGCTCGTTTTCACTAAGAAGGGTTGCACGGAGCCTTCCAGAGTTCAACAAAGAAGAAGTCCCAAAAGATATGCAGCGCACCCATATCCACCACACTGACTTCTCTACAGAAAATGAAGAGTTATCTGGGGAGCAAGAGGGGCTGCAGAGCACTGCTGGGGAGCCGTGGAGGGTAGATGTACACAATATGCCAGCAAAGTGGATGACAGCTGTGTATTTCAGCGGTCAGGCGGATCAACTAAAGGTGAACCCTGCGTTTGGCATAGAACTGCCCCACTCTTGGTTCACTTTAGAGCTGTGGGTCAAGCCAGACGGGGGCCAGAATAATCCTGCCATCATTGCAGGTATGTGTTTGTGCAATCCTATATAATTCTCATTGTCTAAAATCATGTTTGTTTGTTTTTTTTTGTATTGGAGGGCTGCAGGTTCTTTAAACCATTTTCTAGTAATTGGAAGTGTCATTGGCTATTACTTAAAGCAGCAGTTATAACTTGAAGGATACATAATTCACAATTAGCAACTGTCTAATCAGAATAAATATTGCTGAAAGGAGTACAGCTATACAGACCAAAATGATTATGTAAAGTCAGATTAATTCCTCGAACCCTTCTCAGTTCATCAATAGGGTTGGGTACCGAAACCCGGTACCAATATGGCACCGGTACCTATGTAACCGGTATGTATTAGAACCGAATCAGAACGCAGATTTCAGTGCCATGCCTGAGCGATCGATTGAAATATTTCCTCTGGTTCTCCGAAACGGACGTAAGAAGCATCATCACTGGCACCGCACGAGAAAAATAATTTCCCGACTGAGAAAATGCAGAGTCGGAAAGCTCTAATAATACAAATCCAACACATCTTTGTAGTAACGCGAGTGTCCATGTTGTTTTCACATTCCGTTTTAAGCACAACTCAGGAAATGAGAGCATTTGAGGAGCGCGTGAATGCAGTAACTTGCTCTGATGGCAGCAGGTAGCCTTCCGTTAACTAAGCTAAACATGCTTAAATTAAAATGCCTAAAGCTAAACTTCTCTTGTATTCACATTTCTAAACCTGTTGTCCAACAAAAGAGAACATTATAACCGTTTTACTCCACAACACCAGTCAAATGCTTCCTTTTGTGATCTGATGAGGCTCTTGTCACAGAATGAGGCCGAAAATGTGTTCCATATGCTACTTTAAAAAGAATACATCGATTAGCAATAGATTATAAATTAGGGTGACCCATACGTCCTCTTTTCCCCGGACATGTCCTCTTTTTGGACCTACAAAAATGCGTCCGGCCGGGATTTCTTAATTGCCCAAAATGTCCGGGATTCGGCTGTTTTCTTAATCCCACTCCCGCTGAATCTCTGACCATTGCCGCTTGCTCCCGCAACATATGTTTCGCTCCCGCGATTTTCGTGTCCACTCCTTTAAACATTCTAATATTGTGTATAATTTTGGCGCATCAGGGAGCTGCTCTCAGGATGCGGTGTATTTACATATTTTTGAATGAGCGTTTGCGCCGTTTACTTTTACTTTCGATTTCGCGATCTCACGCTCTCTGTGTAAAGGGAGCACATCTTACAAGATCAGATATTTGTCAATGAGCTCAGAATCTGTTGAGCAGCAAATACTCCAGCATGGTCTTGTCAGTCATCTCTCCTTATTCTCGACCTGTGATCAGTCAAAGCTGACTCCTGCAGCTCTTGCTGGATGCAGGGTTGCCAAGTCCGCTTTTTTTCCACAGAATTGGGCTACTTTTAAACTGTTGCCATGGGTTGATATTCCCAAGTGGGTTAAAGGTTTGAAATATTGCATAAATAACATTTGACTGAAATGCTTGTATTGAAAAATTTTGCATTCTACCTATGATAAAACTTCCATGGACTTCTACATTAACTGTTCCCTCCTGGTGGAATGACCTGCCCAGCTCAATCCAAGCAGCTGAGTCCTTAATATTTTCAAAAGGCTGAAAACATCTCTTTCATCTTCATTTGACCTTCTAACTCTAGCACTCTCTATTCTAATTCTACTTCTAATTTTGTCTGCTTGTTTTTTTTAATTAAAAAACTTGATTCTCTAACATTTGCACTCTCTATTCTATTTCTATTCTAACTACTTGTTTTATTTATAAAGAAAAAAGAGCCTCTAACGCTAGCGTTCTCTATTCTTTCTCTGTTCTTTAATAAGTATCGGTTCAGGCACCGTTTAGGCACCAGAACCGTTTTAAAAGTATCGATTTGGCACCGGTATCGAAAAAACCCCAAACGATACCCAACCCTATTCATCAAGTGCATCAAATGGTGTGCGGCGGACTCTGTGTTGTGTCACGACTTTGACACGTTGTTGTTTCATTTAAGAGGCCTTTGTTTGAGGATATCAGCTGACAAGCAGATGAAAGGAGAATGGGAAATCAGCTGCTTACGAGGTGCAAACGATGAGTAGTGCTAGGGGAGGAGTGTTAGAGGAACAAGTGGCCACCACCTGCTCAGTGTGTCCTGTCAGCTTTATTTAATCACTTGTTTGTGCATATGGCACACTGCGTTTCCAAGGTTTGATTCATAAGCTGCATGTTCTGGACACCATACTCACATTGACAGCTAGCTGTCATCCAGCTCAATTGTTTGATATAAAATGTTTTCAAAGCAGAAACTAGATGTTTTTTTCACATGCAAAGCTGATATGCAAAAAGTTGTCTGTAAATGCTTTGAGATTTATTTAATGTTGCAGTTATATATATGTTGCATATATATATATATATATATATATATTATAATGTTGTGTAACATGTCTAAAATAAGGGAAACATTTTTATTTATTTGTTAGTTAGTTTATTGCAAACCCATCACTAAAATTCATAAAATTATAAATTTTTATTGAGGACCTTATTGTCCCCCGACATGGCGCTGGGTTATTTTGCTGATGCACATTATTATTACAAAAACAAAAATAAACAAAATAAGCTGTGGAACATCATAGAAGGTGCCGGATCTCCCAAGGGAGCTTTCATAATCAGGTAAATGTGCATTTTTGTATGGCTGCTGAGGAGGGTCAATGTGTAAATGATTATATCTGGAAGTGCTTCTGAGACTAGTTCCCATTAAGAAGAACAAAGCCCAGAGTTCTCTTGTCGTAACCTGCACGAGGCTTTTCCTCTACCATGGATGCCAAAGTACATGCTTTTAGGCGAAAGGGGGTGCAAATATTATTCATATGTTTCTAACACTGATGAGTCATCTATCAGACCTCAAAGAGAGCATTAGATATTCCATTTTAATCAAATCATCCACCACTTGGAGAAAATCAGTATTCCCCAATGACGTCAAATCTCACAAACCTCTTAAATAAATGAGAGTTTCTACCATCTTGCTATTGATAAGAATATATTATTTCCTTTTGACATATTTGTCATCATCACTAAAATCATGTGAACATTCACTCCAGCTCCTTTTCAGGTCAATAGCTTTCTTTTAACAATCAGTGGATGAATCTATTGTTATAAAGCCAGTTTTTTAAAAAATCCCCCACTCTGCCAAATGAGCGTTAAAAGGCTTTACTGGAAGTGGTCTTTTCAGCGCAAACTTTTCTTCCGCTATTAAGTGATACTATGCAAAAACATGAACTTTTTCTCTGTCTCTCATAAACACTTATCATATTGAAGTCATCAGTTATACAAGGTTACAAAGAAAGTATTTTTTCAGCACACTTTATCTCCAGCCAACCTCTGCACTCTGGGCCAGTCTGAGGTACTACTATTAGGGGTCTTTTATTTAGTGGGAGACAGACACTATAAAAACAGTAAGATAAGAACTCAGGTTTTGAAAATGTAGTAGCATCCAAGTGGATAGTACTCTGGAATGGTTTATCTTCAAATTCATGACTTCAGGGTTGATACGCGCAGAAATTAGCTGATGTTGTCACACGCTGGAGCCCTGCACACACATCGGCAGGCTTTTTCAATGAATGAAATTTCAGTGTGGTCCACGTCCCTCAGGATATTTTGTTTAAAGCTGCCCATCTCTCCTTCTCCTGTTTGCCCGTGTGTGTATGTGCTTGCATGTGCGTGTGTTGGTGGGAGGGTGAAGGGGTTCCCTGACCTCTCTCTGTCCTTCGACGGTAACATCTGGCTGCCAGATGTGACTGCTCCTGAGAAAGGCGGCTGGGAATATCAGTGGATTTGTTGAATGGAAATGACTTAAACGCTTAAACTCTTCAGATAATTAAACACCAATTACTCTGTGTTTGATCAAGCTACATTTCTGCTCATTGACTCCTTCGTTTGTGTTTTTTTTCTAGGCGTGTTTGACAACTGCTCGTATCCCTTGAGCGAAAAAGGTTGGTCTGTTGGGATTCGAGCAGTAGACCCTACGGGAAGAAAAGATGGCAGGTTTTTCTTCTCCCTTCGCATGGATCGGGCACTCAAATCCACCACTATCATTGCACACCAGCGCTACCAGCCCAACAGCTGGACTCATGTGGTGGCCAGTTATGACGGCCACAAGATGGCGCTGTACGTAGACAATTCCAAGGTTGGCGAGAGCAGAGAACAATCAGGTGACCTATACAGTCCCTACATCAAAGCCTGTCGCATGTTTCTGCTTGGTGGGGACCAGTCGGATCACGAACACAGTTTCCGCGGGCATTTGGGAGGTGTCACGTTATGGGGTTATGCGCGAACGCACGAAGAACTTCTTAAAGGTCACCAATCCCATGCAGAGAGACAAACTCCCATCTTGTCCCAGTGGGCAGATTTCTCAGAGGTTGAGAATCAGTGGGCGCCCTACAAAGACCGTCACAACCCAATCATTGTGGCTCTTCCTGTCCCAGAGCGGCAGCTTGTTTCCCCGTTTCTTCCGCCTCCATGTGGCATGACCGTGTGTGACAATGCCGACGTCGCCCTCAGTTATAACCAGCAATGGCAACTACAAGTCGAGAAGCACCTACGTTACCGCATCGTGAACATCTGTAAGGATGACGGCAGCGACCCTACAGTCTCTCTGCAGCAGATCCAGCTCCAACACCAGGCCTTGGAAGATGCCTTCCGTCCTTACAACATCACGCTGGAGCTCAGCATTCACACCATCTACAACTCTTCCCTTCAACGGCGCTTCGTCCTCAGCAACTGCCACATTGCCAAGGTGGGGAACCGCCATTGCAATCCCGAGTGTGACCATCCTCTTACAGGCCACGATGGGGGTGACTGCTTGCGCATGGGGCCCTGCTACAACTGGAAGCGGAGGGATGGAGTCTGCAACCCAGAGTGCAACAGCATTCACTATGATTACGATGATGGAGATTGCTGTGACCCTGAGGTCACAGATGTCGCAAAGACCTGCTTTGATCCCGAGTCTTCTCAGAGGTGAGCATGTGCTTCAATATGGTTCCACTTTGGCAACAAACTTGAACCCAGTTATAATTTTATTGGGATGTACAAGAGGGTTCATGATTTGGTCTTAATTCAAGGATTGCAAAATAGCAAAAACCCCTCAGGAGGATATTTGACTGCCTGCTAGCTTCTATAGAATTTGATGCAGGTACCAAAGTCAGCTACCATATCATTACATCAACTACATTTATGTCCTTAGCAGATGCATTCCTACTAAAACAGCTTGCGTTAAAGTGCTAGGCCTTATAGGTCAAGATAAAATTATTGAAAGCATTCCCTATCCTTCGCTCAGGATCACTGTGAACTGGTTTTTGAGTTCAAGAAATTGACAAAAGTTATGTGCTTGTTAAATGTTCTCACTGCAGCATCAGAAAAAAGGAAACTAAAGTGTCTTATTGTGAAATAGTGTTTACTTTTTTCATTTTTTATTTTCAAGATTGTCAGGGCATTCTGTATTTCTTAACATGCAAAGCATACAAATCGGCCTTCTGGAATAACATTAAAAAGCAAGCAAAACTTGGATGCAGAGCTGAGCCAAAGTATACACGTAATGTGGCTAAACAACAAAACCAGAGGTCTCGGCACTATTCATGGTGAAAGGCAGGACAGTTTTGCTCCCGTACAGACTGGTTGAAGGCTTGCCGCAGTGTCTTTCATTTTTTCTGATGCTACGTAAATGAGTAGACGTTCACAAAACCGTACTATAGTGTAAAATCCTGAAAATGTGATCACGCCAAGTCTTTTATTTAAGTCCTTTTATCAGCAAGATGAATTTGCTATATGTCAAATTTCCAGATGCAGTTTGGGAAGTGTTGTTCCAGGCTCAGTGTGCAGCGAGACTTTGTGTCTCAGCCACCAGCTGTTGTCATTTTATGCTTGCTTGAAAACAAGCTTTCTTCAAGAGCTTCCTATCTGTTCCTGAAGGGCTCATATAGAGATTAATAGGGCCCCACATAAACCATTGGATGGTGGTATAAGAAACACTCTTTTGGTTGTTTTGCACTGAGAACCTTTTAAAGAGGACAACAGCAAGCTCATAGCCAAAATCCACAGGCAGAACATTTATTTCTGTCCATGGTTGGTGGATAATAAATCAGTTAAACGCCATTTCAATGCTGTTTCCACCAAGGGGTTAATATTTGACTGATTAGCATGGCCCTGTCGTCCCTGATGGTAGATGACGTAACTACACACTCTGCAGATCATTTGCCTTCATTTGCAATACATTTAATTTTAAAATATAGTGAAATAGAAAACTTATTTAAAATTTTAATATTGTTTCACAATATTACTATTTTTACTGTGTTGTTGATCTGATAATGCAGTCTTGGTGAGCATAAGAGACTTCTCTCAAAAGCATTAAAATCATACCAACCCCAAACTTTTGAACCATAGTTTATATACCGTTAATATTTCATTGTTTGAAAGGCTCTTATAGGTGTGAAATGGATCATTATGCTTTTCAAAGACCAGGATAGTCACTAGTAAAGGGCTTGGGGCTTGTTCCAATCAGTGTTATCACGATGTAAGTTTCCTGCATTCCTGTGCCAGCCTAGCAACTGCCATTGAGATGAATGGGAATACTAAAAGATAGTCTTCTTCATGGAATTTCAGACATCTTTATTTCTACCTAGGCCAACAGTTTGGAGTAGTGGTGACCTGGAGTACCATACTGTCCTTGGCACACCAAATTAAAAAAGCAATCCAAACGTACTGAATAACCCAAAGGTTTATTTACTGGACTTGTTTTCCTCTAAATATGACGTGTCAATAAGTAGAAATGCTAATAGCCAATGGGACCAGATTAACCTTGGGCTCATAGACTAAACCCTTAGAGAGGTCTTTCCTTACCATGCTGGAAGAGTGTATCGCTAAGGCAGAGGTCCAGAGTTTGCAGTGAATTAATGCAGGGATGACATTTTGATGGCAATTGTATAGCGTGCTTTTATGTGGAGGTCTGGGATTTTAATGTTTTGCTTTGTGAGTTATAGCCCAGGTATCTGCTGCTGGGCAGTGAAGCGCAAGTACTTGCCAGTTGCTGTCACTACGCACATTTGTTGTTGAACCAGAGAGAAACAGCACAAGGGAACCACCAGGTGCTTTTTGGCAAGCTCCAGAGAAATGGAACGAGAAGAAAGCAAAGACATTTTAGTCCAGACACTTAAGCCAATAGAACTGAACTACCTGATAACTCTTCTCTTTAGTAATTAACTTTGATAGATGCTTAGCAATTTCAATGATTTATGATGTATTTATTTCTTTATTCATTTTGCTGCAAGATAGTGGATCGGTGGTTTTGAATATGACTCTTATGATGTTATTTAAAAGGATTGTATTCACCTGAAAGGTGAAGTTTGAAATAGGTATAAAATAGCCACTTTAAATGTCACAAAATATTACATTAATTTGGTTAATTCATCAGTAAACTAAATTTTTTTTTTAAATTACGTAAAAATTATGCACACACACACATATATACATATATATATATTTTATTTTTTTATTTTTTTTTATTTTTTTTGCAGCGGAATGTGATTGTGACTAAGAACAGTAAATTTAGTTCACCTGGCTGTCATAATGTGCATAACATCTAAACGTATTTTATTGCCCGCATTCTGCATCTGATTGGCTTTACTTGACTGTCAACAATTCACAATGTAAAAAATTAAATGGTCCCAAATATATTCTATCACTTAATTTCCAGAACAAATTTTGTAAGAGCTGTCTAAATCTAAACTTTAAGTAATGTGAATAGAAATTGTTAAATCATTTGAATTCTATTGCTGAATTAGCCCTATAGGAGAGATTTAGGCAACACTCAAGAAGCACTCAAGAAGATTGGCTCAGCCTTTGCTTGTTTAATAAAAAACGACACAAGAAGTACGATGCTTGGTTTATTCTCGCATGAAACGGGTTCAAGAAACAGTAGGTGGTTCAACTAATAGGCTCACCCCTTCGGCACGATCCAAAGGGCAATAAGAACCGGACCTCTTCAAACCAACAGCTCAATGATACGAGGTGCAAAGGTTTAAGCAGCCAAACAAATGAGAAAAATGACATGTGACATATTCCAAAGTAAAAATAAGTTAACATCACACATCAAAGCGCCTCTATGGCGATTTATCACAGCTGGGAGTGGAATAAAAAAGTGGGCAGTCGTTTCATGCGCCATAACTAGTTCAAACAATTATAAACCCTAATCATCATGACATAAAGTGATTTTTTTATGACTGTTGTTATTAAAACTGCTAATAAAAATCAATATGCGAATTTAAAAACATTCATAGGACATCGTACTGCAGTCAAATGTATGTTAGTTCTCTTACAAATTCCATTTGCTTACTTCTGATGACATGAACTACACTATTTAAACCATTGTTGCTTTAAAGGGGTCATATGATGCTGCTAAAAATTATTATTAACATTATTTTGTGTATTTGGTGTAATGAAATGTGTTTATGTGGTTTAAAGTAAAAAAAACACATTATTTTCCACATACTGTACATTATTGATTCTCCTCTATGCCCCGCCTTTTTGAAACGCGTCGATTTTTACAAAACTCATCGGTCTGAAAAAGACTAACGGAGGCACGAGAGCTCCGCACTCCCCTGGCCTCCCCTTCCTCTTCTCTATCACCTAGCGGTTGCAATTACATCAGCAGATTCGGCACATTCGCGATAGAAAAGCGGCGCTTTCACGTTATGGTATTACAACTGTGAAATTACAAACAAAAAATACACATTCTGAGACATGAACTGAAATGAATTGTGAATTTTATTAACATTAAATCGTCCTCCTCCCATTTTCACCTCATAATTATGGGGAGGCTGTGCCTCCCCTGCCTCCCTCGACGAGCCGCCGCTACCGGCGATCCACAGCACTAAATTGTAGTATTTCCTCAGCGACTAGCACAGATCAGCTCTAGGCATGACGAAGCGGATATAGAAGACCAAACAAAGTAATTTCGCTTTCACAACGAAAAACACAGCATCTTCAGGACATGGCGGCAGCGGCAACAATACTACAGTGAGAATAAAAGTTACGCCTTCTTTCTTTGCGTGAACATTTGGGCGGCGTTATGCAAATATTCCCACATCGTGAGGTAGACATGTGGGGGCGTGTTCGAACGAGCCGTTTTAGGTAGGTGTGGCTGATTCTTAACTTTTATAAAGAATATCTCTTTGGATTTGAGACTTTAGTCTTTGCAAATTTACAGATCTTCTTTATGCACCAAGAGCTTGTAACACTCCAAAGAGAAAGGAAAAAATTAAATCGCATCATGTGATCCCTTTAAACTGTTATTTTTAATACAATTTGAAATTGTCATTCCCTTTTAAATCTTGACTCAAGCCATCAAAGAAAAATTTAATAACTTGCATGATGTTCATTCATGTTTATGGCAGTTTCCTCAATAATTACTTGTTTTCTATGCAACGTTTCTTGACTATGTGTCAATATCTATGATGCAGGGCTTATATGAGTGTGAAGGAACTGAAGGAGCTGCTTCATCTGAGCAGTTCAGACACGCTCAATGTGTTCTTCGCTAATAATTCAGCACGCGAAGAGCTTGCTGGTGTTGCCACCTGGCCATGGGCAAAAGAAGCGCTTACTCATCAAGGTAAGATGTCCACTGACATTTAACGCAGCAGCTCATGAACATGATGAAGTGAATAACCCAAGTCCCATTTTAATAGAATTTAGGTAATGTGAAAGTTAATTAAAAAAAACAACAACAACAGTAACCCAAACGATGCAAATTTAAAAACCCAATGATGAAAACCTGACTTATGAAATGTTTTGATTTGACTGAACTAGATTAGATAAGACTGGACTAGACTTGAGTGCAGAAATCAACCATGGTTTGGTTTGTTAGTATGGCTCAGTTAGCCCCAGCTGGTAGATGTGGTAACTACACAATCTTGTTTTAAAAAACGTCTCTTTCTATTGATGGCCTTTTTTTTCAAGTAACATAAGTCACAAATATTTCATCACATTGGCAGATGTTTTATTGCATTTTTTTTTATGCTCTTAAAAGCATGAAATGGATTTAGATTTTGTGCTATGTTTGACGTCACAGCTCAGTATTGTCACTTGTAAAAGGGTTGGGGCCGTGTGCATTTTTTGGAAGGGATAAAAAACAGACAAGATAATATGAGAAGAAAACGTTAAACCCAACTGGGTTCATTCTACCATGGACAATGTCAAGTTAAGAACTCAGTTGTTTCCTGTCATTACATTCCCCACAGCACATGTGTTTTTTTGTACCTGATGCCATAGATCTTCTTGTTCATGACTTGCTCTTTTTTTGATCGCCTTAAATCTTTTCTTTAAAGAAACACATTCTTGTCTCTTCATCCTTGTTGTCTGTATTTGCCTTTACAAGATTAATGGGCCGTGATCTCAAGCATAAAAGAAAACACTTGCCGCACGCATAGATTTCCCTGTAGATTGCCCCTTAATCATTAAGGTCGTCCACCGGGAGAGAGGAAAAGGAACTCGACAACAACCAAACAAAAACAAAAGAAGGGTATTAAACTGTTGCCATCTTCATCCAACTGCCAGCTGATTTTATAGTACTAGTCTTTGCTGTGTTTTAGAGCTCATTAAAGCAGTCTCCGTTAAGTCCAGCTCCTTTAAAAAGGAGATTTCTCTCAAGCAGGAAGGTTTCTAATATAAGTCCCCCTCCCATTGGTTCAGGATGCAAGATCACATTGTGGTCTTGGCTTTTTGGGTTATAGCTTTTGTTAATGAGATCATTTTGGCCTGTGCATAGAATGTGAACTTTTAAACCGATATTAGAATGAGTAATTAGCGCTAACTTGCTTTTGTGAGCTTGAATTTGGTCATGAATTTTCACAGTCTGTTTCTAATGTGTACGTGATAACACTTTGCATTCATGTTTAATTTATTAACATTTAGTTAATTAGGTATCATAAAACTATTTTACAGCATTTATTAATCTAGAGTATTGCATATTTCTTAATATATAGCTGTTCATTTTTATTTTTATTTTTAATTCATAACATAAGGATTTTAATTTATATAACTTGTAAATGTTAAAAATGTATTAGTACACTTACTGTAGAAATAAAAATAATCCGAAATAATAAATGCTGTAAAATTATTGTTTTAGCTATTTTATAGCTATTTTTGTTGCATTAATATCAACAATATAACCATATTGCAAGGTTTTACCATATTTCATATATTAATACATTTCATTTAATTTTAGATAAATTTTGGTTGTTCTATTTCTACCCTCTTGAAAATATATGAAAATAGTCCCCCAAAAGTCATATATTCTATATATTTGACTGCCAAATTGTACAATTTTACTATTGTCTGTTTATTTTATAAGTAACCATGGAATAAACAGTATAATGCAATCGGCGTATCATTATCACAAAATAAACTATTTCAGGAGGGGGTCCTTGGTGTCCTCATCACCCTGTCCTGTTTTATTTTGCTCTCAATTGTCCTGTTAATGATCTGAGCATAGAGGTGGTCTGAGACATAAAAGGCAACATGAAATTCATGAATGACTGTCCATGCTGCTTTGAATCTCACAGAGATATGGCCCCTTATTTTCACAGAGCTATGGCTCCATTCTTATTATGCCCATAATCCACCTCTGCTTTTGATTTACCGTCATGTCAAAAACAGTCTTTGATGCAAGACGATCTTTGTCCACAAATGTTTCGCTGGACCTGCATGGAGGTTAAAAAGCAAGATTAGTTTCTCATAAATTAGAGGTATGATTTATGGTTTAATTTCACATAAATTACGAGCTTATTTTCGAGAGTACCTTAATGTCTTATACTGAGGGACAAGGTCAAACTACTGCTCTGAATGCTTTAAGTGAAATCAGACCATAGCATGGACTGCTGATCTTGTGGTATAACTGTAAACGATCTGTGTCTGTCAGACGTGTCTAGTCAAGCTCTGTCCATTTGGCTGAACTCCCATAAAACATGGATATTTCCTCAATAAAAAAGTTATTTACTCAAATCTAGTATATTCGCTGTAAATGGCCTGTCTGGGGTGGAGCACAAATCTCCAGAAAAGAAAGATTTTCGCAGATGCCCAAATAAACCAACTTCTGTTTTTAATTAGTAAACAAATTCTGTTTTTCCTTTAAAACCTAATAACTTATATAAGCTACAATTTCGATATAACAACAGTTATGCAAATTAGTCTCACTATGTCATTTCATACTTGGATTTCATATGCATGGATTTTAAATAGTTATAAATGTCACATTGTTTTAAGCTTTTTATTCCATTATTTGAATATAAAACCAGATGCCAATGTGTTACTTTTCAGCAGGTGTGGAATCTTTAATACATTTTAATGTTCTGAAATTGGGTAGGACTTTAGACAACACTGATAACCAGATGTACTGTTCTTTCTGGTAATCCTAACTGCGGTGGCCCCGTTTTACAGGATAGTGCACACTGTTTTATGCAGCAATATTTCAGAACAAATCAGTTTCATTTACTCACAGACTCCTGGCTTTGAGATTAAAGTTAACTTGAACATTTACACCTCAGTGTTCTGTCAGGTTAAAGTTTATATTGTTGCATCAACTGCAGAGATATCAATTTGGGTTATTTTTCAGGTGGAATGATACTTAACCCCTTCTACTTTGGAACCAAAGGACACAACAACACCATGATCCATGAGATGGGTCATATTTTGGGACTGTACCATGTGTTTAAGGGTGTGAGTGAACGCGAGTCATGTGATGACCCCTGTCAAGAGACCACCGCATCCATGGAGACGGGAGATCTGTGTGCCGATACTGCACCAACAACAAAGTCTAAAGTTTGTCATGACCCTGATCCAGTCAATGACACATGTGGCATTACCCAATACCAAAACACACCGTACAACAACTACATGAGTTACACAGGTAGTCATGATCAGGTTACTGCTTCTGTTTGCTCACGAAAAACAACCCGCTTTACTTTAAAAATGTTGATGTTAATGTCACTTAATGGTACAAGTTATACCTACATGCATGTAGTGTAATACACTACCATTCAAAAGTTTGGCATCAGTACGAATCTTTTATTTTTATTTTATTTTATTTTATTTTTTGAAAGAAGATACTTGTGTTCACCAAGGCTGCATTTTTGATCAAAAAGACAGTCAAAACAATAACATTGTGAAATGTTATTTTAATTTAAAATATCTGTTTTCTATTTTAATATGTTTTATAATGTAATTTATTCCTGTAATACTAAAAATGCCATTACTCCAGTCTTTAGAGTCACATGATCCTTCAGAAATCATTCTAATATGCTGATTTGGTGCTCAAGAGACATTTCTTATTACTCTCACAGTTGTGATAATTGTTTGTGCTGCTTAATGAAGTATGGAAACACTGATACAGTGTCTTTTTTCAGGATTATTTGATAAACAAAAAAAATAAAAAATGTAATGCATCCTTGCTGAATAAAAGTAGCAGTTTCTTTAAAAGAAAAAAAGTCACTGATTATATATATATATATATATATATATATATATATATAAATTTTTTGCCCATTTTACTGCATTTTTCATTGTTCAAGTCTAACTTTTATTTACTTTTATTTATAAATATATCTATTTATAAAGAACTGATTTACTCTACCGTTTAAAAGTTTGTGATAAGAACGCTTTTTTAACACTTGTGTTCTTTTTGATTGAAATTGAAAATTGAAAACAGCACAACTGTTTTCAGCTTTGATAATAATAGGAAATCAACATATTAGAATGATTTCTGAAGGCACTGAAGTGGCACTGAAGTTTCAAGTAATGAGTGCTTAAAATTCAGCTTTGCCATTGCAGGAATAAATTGCTAAAAAAAGTTATTTTAAAGTAAAAAAATATATATATATTTTTACTATATTATTGATCAAATAAATGCAGCCTTATTCAATTAAATTAAATAATTTAAAGTTTATTTGTATAGTGCTTTTTTACGATACAAATCGTTGCAAAGCAACTTAACAAAAAATTAAGTTTAAGATTAAAAAAATCAATTAAAAATGTAATCAAACAGACGATGAACACTATTAACAGCAATTATTATATGATGCAATCAAAATTATAGCAAAATGTGGTAGTTCTGTATGTTGTTTCAGGGTTGGCATCATCTGAGGTCCTCTGAGGGGTTGGCATCATCTCTTCTCAGGTGTTCTGGATCCAGACTGAAACTTGTGTAAATCCTAGTTACCACGGGATGTCAATCCTGTGGCAAAAATAGAGAAACAAATAGAGACATAATTAGCGTAGCTGCTGTTCCAACCAAGCAAAATTGATTTGTTTAACCAAAGCTAAAGAATAATAATGTGAATTTGATCAGATATAACTGCAGTACAAGATTATGAGATACATTATTTGAATGTTTGGCCAAAGAGATGTGTCATTAATCTAGATTTAAACAGATCAGTTTAGATCAGTGTCTGAACCCCGAACATTGTCAGGAAGGCTATTCCAGAGTTTGGGAGCCAAATGCGAAAAAGCTCTACCTCCTTTAGTGGACTTTGCTATCCTAGGTACTACCAAAAGTCCAGAGTTTTGGAACCTTAGGGAGCGTGATTAGGACGAAGGATTAGGATGAAGACTGGTTAGGTACGCAGGAGCTAACCCATTAAGGGCCTTATAGGCAAGTAATAATATTTTGTAACTGATACGGAACTTAATAGGTAGCCAGTGCAGAGAGTGTAAATTTGGGGTAATATGATCAGAGATCATATATGCATGAACTAGCTTTTCTGTATCAGAAACAGGTAACATGTTTCGTAGCTTGGAAGAATGCTGTTTTTGTAACATGGGAAATATGATTTTCAAAAGACAAATTGCTGTCTAATATAACACCCAGATTTTTGACTATAGGGGAAGTAACAGTAATTGAAAATAGCAAAGGACCTAGGACAGATCATTGTGGCACTCCATATTTTACTGGTGATAACTGAGATGACTCCCCATTTAAATAAACAAAGTGGTAGCTATCGGACAGATAGGATCTAAACCATCGTAAAACCTGCCCTTGAATATCTGTATAGTTTTGTAATCTATCTATGAGTATGTCATGATCTATAGTGTCGAATGCAGCACTAAGATCAAGTAAAACTAGCAATGAGATGCAGCCTTGGTCTGATGCAAGAAGCAAGTCATTTGTGATTTTAACAAGTGCCGTTTCTGTGCTATGGTGGGGCCTGAAACCTGACTGAAATTCTTATCAACCCTAAACTTTTGAACTGTAGTGTCTGGATTACAGTGGTGGAGCAAAACTGTACAGTCAAAGTGTGGCAGATCATAGTAATCTGCTGCTCAGTCATTGATCGTGTGCGCAATTAAATGTCGCTATCAGTGGGCGTAGTTGATTCTTAGTGAAGTCCCCCCGATGTGTTTGCTAGAGTGCCGCCCCAGGGCTCTCCTGGGATTACCTTCCCCTGTCTCACTCCTGTTCTTCAGGCCACCGAAGGCATTAACTCTTAGTTGAATAAATTATTTTGAGAGCCCTGTCTGTCCCAATTAAGGCGCCAATCTGTCTCCTTTGCCAAGTTGCACCTGGGTCCTACGGTCGATTGAGGTCTGGGGAAATGTGCTTCACATCCATTGCCAAGACATGTGGTTTTTCCCAGACACTCGCTCTTTCTGTTTTCCCTTTCACTCGGTTTCTCCCTCTTAGCCTCCCATCCTGTCTTTTTTCGAAAATGGTCATAACAAGATTGAAGATTCAAGAGATTAAATGGTTGTTCATGACAAAAAACACAGAATTGCTCGGTTCCAAATATCTAGTGAGCTACCTGCCTTCCTTGTTTGAATTCTAATAAGGCAGACTCACATAAATCCTTCACAAAGAAGATAATCCCAGAATGCATTTGGATGACCACAATTTACATGTAATTCACTACTGAAAATTATCAATAAAAAAAATTAATGATTTTTACACAATTACTCAAATTGACTTTTTGTGTATTCTATTTGTATCCTATTTGTGTATTTTAATGCTTATTGGACTACCCCTCTGTTAGCTTAGCAACTTGCTAACATCCATTTCTATGAATCATTTGTGAGTGGGAGCTCAATTTGTGTAGCTTGTGGATTTGCTGCATATGATGTCAATTCCAAATCAGTCATTTATGGGGTTTCAGGACAGAGTGCAAATCCAGTGTGCAAAACTTTTGATGGCGAGTTACAGTATTTTCTTTTTGGCTTTGGATGGGGTTTGCGTGTGTTTTTGCAGGGACCCCTGATGTGTACCAGCCATGTGAGCCCAGCATGCAAGCCTGGAGTCCTGAAGTTAACCTGTATGAGCCCAACATGACTACGCCGTGCCCCCAGATCGAGGGCTGCATGCTGGAATTGCACTTCCTTCACCCGGTTGTCCCAGACAGTTTGACCATATGGATCACTTACACCTCAGCCAGTGAGTACTGTCTGAATATATCAAACACCTGACATTATGGGAAAACACTACTGTTTAGAAGATTTTTCTTTTTTTAGTTTTAGAAAGAAATTAATATTTTTATTTAGCAAGGGCATATTAAATTTATCAAAAGTGAGAAAGACTTTTACATTGTTATTTATGTTTCAGGTAAATGCTGTCCTTTTGTAATTTCTAATCACTGTTTCCACAAAAATATCAAGCAGCACAACTGTTTTTAACATTTATTATAATAATGAATGTTTATTGAGCAGCATATTAAAATTATTTCTGAGGGATCATGTGACAACTGAAGACTGGAGTAATGGCTTCTCACAATTCAGCTCTGCCATCACAGAAATAAATGATATTTTAAAATATATTTAAAATAAATTGTAATAATATTTCACAACATTTTTTTTTTTTTTCCGATTTTTGATCAAATAAATGCAGCCTTAGTGAGCAGACAAGACTTCAAACACATAAACAAATTTTACCAACCCCAAACTTATGAAATATTGTGTATGGATGTTTTATATGAATGAATTCTTCTGTTTTTTTCCACAGATAAAAAGGCAATTGCTAATATCGTGTTCATAATGGAGAATGGCGAGATGGTCCACACAGGTCCTCAACATGCTTTCTGTGACATTCCTTTGACCCTCCATTTACATACTAGTAAGAAGGTCAAGGCTGTTAAAATCTCCACCTTTGATAAGAAGCTTGAGATCGATGCTGTTTTGCTGACCTCGCGGCCCCAAAATCCTCTCTGCTCCAGCTGCCGCCCCCTTCTCTACAGAGTGCTCAGAGAACCACCAATCAGAGAGGACTGGAGTCCTGTCATCGTCAAACAGCCCACATACACTGACAGGTAAGAATATGCATCTGTGTATGATTATCAATAGCACTTTGTAAGACTATATTTTTTATTATTTATTTGAAATTTGTGAGTCATTAGTAATACTGTCAAGCGTTTTTCAAATAATATTATCTCTGTCATGTTTTTATTATGTTTCTAGTTGATTTACAGCAAGTGTGTTTAAGTGTGGCTTAAGTAGAAATGCTGAACATGTTGTGTTTCTAAAACTGTCTTTGAATTGTATCTTCAGTGTATCACTATTCAAGTATTGTGAAATGGTTTTTCGAAGCAATGCCTGAAAAAAATTTCCACAGCCAACACAATAAGAAGAATAACAATATCATGGATTTGACATTGTCATTTCATTAGCCATTAATTTTACAAGCATCAACAGATAGCCAATTTCTGTTCAGTTCCTGTCACATTTTATTCTGCTTGTTCCAATACAAATTCATCAGTGGGCACTGGATTGTTGTTGAAGTACTTGCAATAGGTCAAAATGTCCAGAGATTAATAGTGTGGATCAGAGAATGTATCATATCCAGAAAAGTTCCTTCCACAAGTCCTGTAATCTCAGAAAGATGGAAACTCTATTGGGAATTGTGATATGTGGATAGGGAAAGGAAAGAAAGACAGATTGGATCTGAGAGAGAGAGGTAGAGAGAGAGAGAGAGAGAGAGAGAAAGACAGAGAGAGAGTGGTACAATGAAACCCTGGAATATAAACCAAATGTGACCGCTTTACCCGTAGAAACAGTAAACACCCGTGGCTGTTTGTAGCTCATCTGAAATTGTTTCCAATCTCTAGCTGAAGGGAGTTGTGTGCTTGATGTAGTTAGTGTGTGGGAAGTGAGAGACCTGTCATTTGGCATGGGAGACAAAAGACTGACAAGAAGTACAGGGGAAAAAGGGAGTTGGAGTGAAGATGGTTTTGTGGGAAAGTAGGCTACAGTGCCACCGTGAGGTCTGCAGCAAAAAACAAAGCACTTTCCGTGAAATGGGTAAGGTATCAAGTGGCCAGTGAAGGGAGGTGCTTAACCTTCAGTTAACCTTGGGAGGACCCATACTAAATATTATATGAGCTGTTTTATTTTCTATGCATTTTATATGAGGTTTGAGGATTTTGCCAACATTTATGGCACATTAATATTAAATCCCAATTTTGTCTGATATTTGTGTGATTTTGTTATAGTAAATAAATAAATAATAATTATAATAATAATAAAGATCAAAATGTAGTTGAATTGTTTTGAATACTATTCAAAAGTTTGTGGTCGGTTTTTGTAAAGCCTGTTATGCCCACTAAGACTGCATTTATTTGATCAAAAATAGAGTAAAAACAGTATCATAGTGAAATATTACTACTTTAATGTATAATAAAAATATAAATAATACAAAATATAATCTAAAAAAAATAAGCATTTTTGGGGGGGTAATATGTTTCATTTATTGCTGATGATTAGAAAATTTAAAAAGAATAGCATAATAAATAAATAAATTACTTTTTGAATTATGTTTTTCATTGAATGCTTTAAATAGTTGGATACAGTCGAGAGGGTCAAAACAAGTCCAGGTTAGACAAGTCCAAATGTGTACAGATATTTTATGCGTTTAAGCTCAAGTGTGCTATGTTCTCCTAAGTCACCTACATGAAGGTTTCATGGGACTAATGGCTATTCTAGTTTACAATTGCCAAATAAAATATGTTATACCTTACCAGAGGAGGCTTTGTGCTGTAGGTCCCTGCCTTTCTCTATAACTGGCTATGCTACGAAGAAAGAAATATGACTTTATTACGTGCACAGAATCCTTCATTGGATCTCCCTTTGCGACCTCAAAACAATAGTTTTAAGTAGTCTCTCTCCCCTTTTCTGCCCCTGGAAGTAATCCATAATTAATAAGGGCAATTTGTTGAGTAATAAGACCCGCTGGAGAAAGTAGATGATGCTCAGTTAGCTAGGCATCCTCTTACCACCGCCCAGAAAAGGACTGAAATCAAACAAGCCTCGTCAATCATGGCGAGACTCTTTTTATAGAGTCATTCAATCAGATCAGATCGATACCCTGAGGTACATCACAGTGTGACATGTAGTGATACCCTCAACATTAAAATGTAATTTCCATTTTTAACAAGGTTAGATATTAGATCATACTGAGAATAAATATAGCTTATATAAAGTATTTCTGCAGAATATTTCAGATTCATATTGTGCATCAGGCACGTGCACAGGTAGGGCTCAACCTGTGCAGAGCACATGCCCTTTTTGCCCTTACACTCCAAAGTGCCCTTTTTTCTTCTTCAATAAATCAATGCTATTGGTCACCCTTTACGTCTGTCTGTCTGATTTACAAATATTTAGCCAATGAAAGGTATTAAAAATAGCTTGTGTTGTGACTAAATATTGTTGGATCTTGCGAGGGTAAATAAAGATCTTGTTGTTTGAATAAGTACAGCATTTTCTTTACGCAAGAAACACTATGTCTATGTCATCTAAAATCTGATATCTTCTTGCGTTCTTCATGTTTATAAATGCTGTGAAAAAGAAACATTGGTCCAATGCTGCGGTCAAAAAGTTTTTCGTTATTACTTTTTATACACACAATATCGTTTTGTCTTCTAAATAAAATCAAGCACAAATGTGGGACAGTTGGACTCCAACACATTAAGATACCATTATTCACAGAAGGGTGCCCTTTTTGTCAGTTTCAGCACATGTCCCTTAAAAGGTCTGTGCACAGCCCTGTTGTGCATTAGAGCTGTTGTGCTGAATATCAGCATGTCTGTGATTCTTTAGTATGGTTTATGATTTTCGCTTTTAAAGTGAATAGTTCACCCCAAAATGAAAATTTGCTGAAAATGTACTCATCCTCAGAACATCCAGGTTACCCAAGATGTAGATGAGTTTGTTTCTTCAGCGAAACATGAAATTTAGCATTACATCACTTGCTCACCAATGGAAAAATTTGACTTTATTACTAAATATAATATCAATTTACTACACTTTACAAGTTTGTTTGTTTATTTATTTATTTAGAATGTCTGAAATTATGTAAGATCTCAATAAACATGAAGTCTCTATAGAGTAACTTTATAGATGCAATTTTGCCAGTTACTTTGTTTTTGGTGCTTAACCAAAAATAGTTTCAAACAAAGCCACAGCACAACCATTGCAACACCAAGCCACACACAGTAGTGGTGTTTTGTTCCTCAATGATTCAGTGTTTTTGAACAGCATTTTAACAAATTGTTTAAAGGAGTAATCCATTGACTTGCTCATAAAGATCATCACATTTCACTCCTGGATGAATCAGTGTTTTTGAACAAAATGGTTGAATGAGTGATTCGATTACTTACCTGCAGAAAAAGTCACTAAAAATCCCCACCACTAATTAATTCATTCATTCATTCATTTTAAATTCTTAATGCTCTCACCACTTGCTTTTTGCTTAACTGTGTATATTTGGTTCCGAATGTGTTTGTGTGCTTAGTGATGTGCAGAGGGACGTTCAGTACCTGTACAGGATCCAGGTGGAGTCGGACGGTTTGTTCAGTGAACTTTCCCCAGGCCTAGTTTACATTCATGGAGAACATTTCTGTGGTGATGGCACACTACAGGGGTCAGTATAAACTTAAGGGTCCGTCAGAGGGTTTGCATGTTATGTGCTTTAGTCATTTTTAAAGAATGCTTCATATTTTTGAGTATTTGTTTGAGTCTTTTTTTTTTTTGAGTGTTTTGAAGCGTAGCAAAAGACATTCCACATATTTCATAACTGTAACCCTTGGCATCGCTCTCTCTCCCCCACAGGACTGAGGATTGTGATGACGGGAATCTCTTAGATGGAGACGGCTGCTCAAAAAAATGCCAAGTTGAACCAGGTTTCAAATGTCATGGTGAGTCACACTCAAAAAACAAATCTGTCCACTGAGAACTCTGGCCCTCAGACTGTAAACACCACAACAGAAGCGAAAACACCAAAACAATACAATATTGCTATGTCTTCTTTAGATTTGGATTCCTCTGCTACTGTTTTTCTCTCTCATATTGAATTAGGTAGTCAGTTTATCATAGTGATATTGAAGGAAATGTAGAGGTCATCATATTGTATTTTTAGCACCTATTCCAAAAAAATGCAGAGTCCCTAATACAGAGAATCAGAGAATCATTACTTCGGAGTTCAAATTCATTGCTGAAATCATCCACTGTAATCTCCAGGTGGGAAAATGTATAAACAAAAAAGTTAATTGTTGCATGTTAGATAGCAAAATACATACATAAATTCAAAATACATAAATTCTTAATAAACATTACCCTTGTTGTTTAAAACAACATTAGTTGTTGTTGTTAGGGGGCGTCATATAATAATCATTGTAGTGTGTATATATATAGGTGTATAAGAAAATGTCTATTTTCATTGTTGCATAATATTAAAGTAAGTTTATTTCCCTCATTAGTCATTTTTTACATTATTGTGTCTTTTACACTAAATGCTGTTTTACATTTAAATGCAGTTCTTTCCGAACTTTCCATTCATCAAAAAATCCTATTTTTTTGCATTGTTTCCACAAAAATATTAAACAGCACAACTGTTTTCAACATGAATAATAATAAGAAATGTTTATTGAGCACCATATTGACATAATAGAATGATTTCTGAAGGATCATGTGACACTGAAGACTGGAGTAATGGCTGCTGAAAATTCAGCTTTGCCATCATAGGAATAATTAACATTTATGAATTTGTTAAGAAATCAATTGTAGATACATGGGATGAAAGTACAGTATAAACAAGGAAAATTATATATAAGGTCAGAGGAAGGTCGATTGACCGAAACTTTGCTAAAAAAATCTATTTTTGTGATGCAAGTTATGCAGGATTTGTATAGTTTTTTTTCTATTTGAAAATATATTAAAACAGTTTGTATTAAATCAATATTATTCAATTATTAAATATTATTACATTCTAATACATTCATATTATTACAGATATTATTAAATTATAATACAACTTCACAGTATTACTGTTTTTACTGTATTTTTGTAATAAACATAAATACATTTTACACATTATTTTCAATCTTAATTCTTTTAGAACGCAATATAGATAATGTGTTATAAAATTCCACGGACTCCAGACGTCCCGTATACTGACAGTCAAAATACTTGTTCTCTTGTGTTGCTGAGTTGTGGATCACCAGATCTTACTGTTGTTTTTATTTCTAGGCTGACAAGGAAAAAAAATCACCTTCCCCATTATGTATTATGAGTAATTTCTTTGACAGCAAAATCTGTGAGGTCTGATAATACATATTCAGAGGTATTCAAAGATTCAATCCAGATTTCTAAGTATCCAGTCCAAATTGTGGATTTTAGGTCATTTACTGTAACACAGCTGGTGGTATTACTTATAATTAAGATCATCTTATTCAATATTTTATGTCATCACACTATTGGAAATGGTCCAAAGTATTGCATGTACAGTATGCTGTAAACTGCAATTGATCTTCTTAACAATCATAACAATCAAACTGTACGCCATTGTTACATAATGTACTTGAGTGAGAGTAAATGCAGTACAGAAAGACTCACAGAAAAAAAAGCAAATAGTTCACCAATTTAGTCAGTGTTGTTTTCGTGACTGAAAGCACTACATTTTCTGTGAGCGTGATGCATGAGAAGCGTCTAATTCAAACATGACCATAGACAAAGCAGCGACTAACTCGCATGCCTCAAACTTCCCAATGTTTTCATAGTAGCCTGTAACCACATTTTTGTGGATTTAGGGCATTCAGGAATGGCTTTTTTGTGATATTTACTCTAATGCCACATTAGGAGCGCTCATATATTATCTCCACGATCGTATTTGGGAAGCAAAGATCAACAAAGCTTAGGAGTAAATCCTTTGGCACTGGCATGTGGGTTAGGTCAGCTGTTCTGCAGCAGAGACGGCCAATCAAATGCTTGTGTTTTTAATTTGTTGTTAGAACCCTTTTGAGCACCTTGCCTTTGATAAGCTGTTCCCACCGATGAGTCACATTCCTCTTACCTTGCAGCATTCTCAGACAAGAGCTCATGCAAGATTCTGATATCATTCACGTGTCCCTCTCTAACAAATTCGCTTTAATGACATGCTAATTCTCCTTTTAGCCCCACGTGCACTTCTGTCATAACTCATTCATATGCCATGACATCCTCCACATATTTGTGTGATCGTTTATTTAATCCTCTCAGTGGAATCATGTTCCTTTTTATTTTCAATTCACACATAAGTGAAGCCTAGTCTCACTGACTTGCTATGAAAACACAATTACATCTTAGCAGTGGAGTCATTACTTGTTACCTATGATGAGTTTGTGCTCACTCTCTCTTGCTTTTTCTGTCTTTCTCAGGTCAGCCGAGCCTGTGCTATGCTTTTGAAGGGGACGGAGTGTGTGAGGAGTTCGAAGTACGTTCCAGCATCCAGGACTGTGGCTTTTTCACTCCCCAGGGGTTCACTGATCAGTGGGCGTCCATTGCCTCAGGCTCACATCAGGACCAGAGGTGTCCTGCCTCGAAGGTCACCGGGGAGCCTGTGCTCACTCAGGTATACAAACAGCTTAGAATTCATTAGCCATTATGAAAGATTTATCTGCCTCACTACTGAAAAAATCAGTTAATGTTTGTTTTGAATGAAATTTGACATTTTAAATATCCTTTTTCTTTTTATATCCTCATCAGATGTGTAAGTCGCAGTATTTTGGCATAAATGAAGTAGTGGCTCATGATGCATGGAGCCCCTGTACTGCCCATCTGAACAGTTACTATACTAAGGATCAGCCTGTCTGGCTAAAGGTACACACACTTGCTCAGTGAATGAACGGCCTATATTGGGCAATTTTGATATAAGTATTAGCTTCCCCCTCTGCTGAAAGCCTTGACAATAAATAATGCACATTTTGTGTTTTCAAATAAATTTTGAACAATGGTTTGTAAAATAAAGGAAAATTAATATAATTGAATTTGAGCAGTTTTATGTACACTACTGTTAAAGTTTGGGGTCAGTAAGATTTTTTTCCCCCAAAGAAATTAATACTTTTATTTAGAAAAAGTGACAGTAAAGACTTTTATAATGTTACAATATATTTCAAATAATGCTGTTCTTTTGAACTTTGTATTCATCAAATAATCTTGCAAAAATGTATAAGGCAGCACCACTGTTTTCAACATTGATAATAATAAGAAATAATTTGAGCACCAAAGCAGCATATTAGTATGATTTCTGAAAGATAATAAAATGTCATTTTAATATGACTGTTTTTACTGTATTTTGACCAAATAAATGCATGATGAGCGTAAGAGACTTTCAAAAATATATACAAATCTTACCAACCCTAAACTTTTTAACAGTAGTCTATGTTCAGATTTATTTTACATGATATTTATTTTTGCCACCCTGCCCACTCACACTGTTCATAAATTATGTTAGCCAAGGAGCCATATATTAATTACTAATAATACTGATACATTGTTTTTGCAGGTAGGATTTGAGCGACCAGGTGTAGCAGCCTCTGTTATTATCTACCTTGCCTATGATGGTAGTTGGCATGGGGAAAATTGCAGGAAAACGGTGACCATTGAACTATGTGACACCACTGGAAAAAAACACCTGCTTGGTAACACATAATATCCTTAATTTGATTGGGAAAGATTGTAATCTTTGTATTTTTTAAGGAACTTCATTGTGTGTGCATGTCCACAGGTTCGTACGAGCTGTCATGTCAGTATAACCCCCTAGTGGTGAATGTGACTCATAACCTGAGTGTGCCGTTCTACCGGACTTCAGCAGTACAGCTGAACTTCTCCTCCTCTCAAGTGGCGGTGTTGGCGGTTGCATTGCGTACATCTTGTCACTTCAGCGCCTTTGCCCTGACCGGGTGCGCTGAGGGTGGGGTCTCCCACGACTTACAAGCACACACACACACACACACACACACACACACACACACACACACATACACACGCACTTGTGCATTTACACATGATATAAACACTAAAAGTTAGGGATCTGTACAATCTCGAAAGAAGTCTCACCAAAGCTGCATGTATTCTAAAATACAGTAAAAACACTACTATTGTAAATATTACAATTTTAAATAGCTGTTTTTTTAAATGTAATTTATTCCTGTGATGGTAAAGCTGAATTTTCAGGAGTCATTACGCCAGTCTTCAGTGTCACATGACTCATTCTCATTCTCATTCTATGAATCATTCTAATGTTCTGATTTCATGCTCCTTTTTACTATCAATTTTGAAAATCGTTGTGCTTCTTAATATTTTTGTGGAAACCATTATTATTATTATTATTTTCAAGATTCTTTTATAAATAAAAAATTAAAAAGAACAGCAATTATTTGTAAAAGAAATATTTTGTAACATTATACATTTCTTTACTCTCGCTTTTAATTTAACCTGTTCTTGCTGAAAAAAATATATTCATTTCTTTCAAATAAATAAATAAACTGAAAAAAAATAGATAAGTCTTACTTATCCCAAACTTTTGAATGGTAGTGTACAAGAAGAATGAACCCTAACCCTAACCCTACAAGAATGAAGACTGTTTATCATACTCACAGAGACACAGATACAAATACAAACAATTCCATCATGTTTGACGGTGGATATGATGTCTGTCTATGTCTACAAATAATAATGAACTTAATAAGTGTTTTTCTCACTCAGATGTGTGCGTAGGCTGTGCAGTGCTGAGTCATGCAGTCCTTTAAACGTCGAACACGCTTCAGTCCGTTGTACTCCAGTCATAGACTCTAAACACTGCTCTGTTTCTTGTCATCGTGGCTATACGCTTACTGTTCTACAAGGCCAGGGACTTCCTTCTCATCAAGTGTGTACAAGTATTGTTAACAGCCTGTTTCTCTGTCTCTCTCTCTCTCTGTCTCTGCAATAACCTCTATAAGAAAGAAAAATCACATCTCCTTGATATCTAGTTTCTGCTAGCAGCAGTGAGATTAAGTTAGAACTAATGACTTTTTCTGAAGATTTTCCTGAGAAGAGATCTCAAGAATGACTGTGTTCACATGCACAAGAATGTTCTGATATTAATTGAATTAGTCATTTTCCAGTTAGTGCTTCAGGTAAACATGTTTAATAAATGATCAAAAAAATGTGATTAATACAGCCATATGCTAGCCGTCTTATTCAGATTTCGAGGAATATTGGCTTAGTCATGTAAACACCTTATTCAGAAAGTCCACCGTAACTGGAGGCCCATTTATACAGTATGCGTGCATGTCCAAACAGAGATAATTTGGGGTGATATTAGATATACACAGTGTTTATTCAATAGTTTGACTGTTTCAAAACTGGTTTGGAGCAAAAAACATTTTGCAAACGTAAAAAGAAAGGTAGTGGCCTACTTTTGTAAGTCTCGTGACCTACATTTTCCAAATCATCACGTTCCTGTTTGCTATTGTGAAAGAGTTGATTAAATTATTGTGGAGAATTACTAAAATGCAGTGTAAGGGCAAGAGCATCTCCAGTAATTCTAGAAGACAAGAGCAGGAACCCACATGTCTTAGTTTATTCAGATTTTGCAGAATACCAGAATGTTCCAGAAACTGTGGAGGACATAAATGCTTAAAATTATGTTCACATGTTCGTTGTCTCAAATTGTGCTCACATTTATCGAAATCTGTGAGTTAAACCTGTCTCATCAAATTATCTAAGAAAATACATTCACATTGATTTTATAACTCAGCAAAACAACGTCTTATTAGTGTCAAGTGAAATACTGTCATGTTTTCTAATGAACCTAATGAAACTGTGACTTTATAAATTGTCTAATGAGCCTAATGAAACTATGATTTTATAAATGGTTGTCATTCTTTCTCTGTTTTGTCCTCTCCTCAGATGGAAGCAGAGCTGATTTGTGTGCATGGAGTGTGGGACCGTGTAGTGAGCTGTCAGCCAGTGGACTGTGGCCCACCTCCTCAGTCTCATGTCTACTTTGCCTCCTTCTCGTGTCCCTGGGGCACCACATTCGGCAAGCGGTGTACCTTTTCCTGTAACGCCCCGGCGATCCTGCAAGGTGAGGACAGGAACTGGCCTACGGTGTGAGACCTGAGGGTTTTTGGAATCTTTACATTCAGTGCATGTGTCTGTTTCTTTGAGACTTTGGCCTTCCTTTCTAAAATAATAACAGTATATTTTATTTGTGGATGACATGAGCCCTTCCTGCATGTTTGCCCATGTACACTGGAAAAAAATCCAACAAATAATTGTGCTTTTTGGCATTCCTGGGGTCAAAAACAAATTCAAATGATAAATAAATCAATAATACTAAAATAACTAATAATAATGAAGTTATTATTATTATTGTTGTTGTTATTATTATTACTACTTGTTGTTGTTTAAATATGAAATATTGATTTGATTTTAAATGATTTTATTATCTTATGTGTTACTGTTACCTTATATGTGACCCTGGACCACAAAACCAGTCTTAAGTCGCTGGGGTATATTTGTAGCAATAGCCAAAAATTGTTACAGTTATGGACTTTTGTTTGTGTTCCTATTCACTTGCCTTAGTCTTCCTTTGACCTAGGCTGTGTCCGAAATCGCCCCCTATACCCTCATTCACCATTCCCTACATTAGGTCACTAATTCAGTTCACTAGAAGGAGTGAATGAAAACGAGTTGTGAATTCGGACACTGACTGCACCGGAAGGAATGCCGCTTTTGCATAGTTTGTGCTTGCTGTTTATTAATCATTTGAAACTAGCAAACTAGCAGCTCCAGTAGTAAGGATTTATCTTGAACTCTGTCATGGAAATTATGTATAAACCCTAATCAAACAATTTAACAATTTATTTCCCTAATCAAACAATTTAATAATCAATTTACAATGAATTTATACCCGTGTTTTACATTATGCTGTACGCCATGGATGAGCGCGTTGTAAAAATGAACGGGTTGATTATTCATCTGCGGGCGCCATCTACTGGCGAGATGTGGGAATTCATCTCACGGTGCATTATGGGCATTCTCTAGCCGATGAGCGTGCACCAGTTGTGCACTCGTTTTTGCAGTGCATTGTGGGATTGAATGAGTGCACTCGAGAACCTCCACTATGGTTTCGGACACCACTAAAAATGGCTGTTTCCTCAAATAGTGCCCTATTTAAGGGTATTTCTCTAGCCGATGAGCGTGCACCAGTTGTGCACTCGTTTTTGCAGTGCATTGTGGGATTGAATGAGTGCACTCGAGAACCTCCACTATGGTTTCGGACACCACTAAAAATGGCTGTTTCCTCAAATAGTGCCCTATTTAAAGGTATAGGGGGTGATTTCGGACACCTGTGTATATTAATTATCTCCTAGTACTTAAGTCCTGTGTTCTCCCCTGGTCCTTGCTCTGCTATTAGTTGTGTCAATGTGTCGGAATTCTTCTGTTTCGTGTGTGGAGGTATCATTAAAAGACTGTTTTGTGGAATTCTCCTACGTCGTGCGCTTCTGCTAGCACAAACCGTAACAAAAATATATTGATGGGTCAAAATTTTTATTTTATGCCACAAATCAGGACAATAAATTAGGACATTAAGTAAAGATCATGTTCCATGGAGATATTTTGTAAATTTCCTACTGTAAATATCAAAACTTAATTTTTGATTAGTAATATGCATTGCTAAGAACTTCATTTGGACAACTTTAAAGGGGATTTTTCTCAATATTTTGAGTTTTTTTTTTTTGCACCCTCAGATTCCAGATTTTCAAATAGTTGTATCTCTGCCAAATATTTTCATATCATAACAAACCATACATCAATGGAAAGCTTATTTATTTATGTATAAATTTAAATTTTGAAAAATTGACCCTGGTGACTGGTCCAGGGTCACCTATCATTATATCAGTCAGAAACAAACTTGCAAAAAGATAAACACTGCACGGATATCACTATATTATATTATATTATATTTTAATACACTTTCATATTAAGCATTGCTGCATGTACAAATTGCATGGTTACTGTTTTATGAATTATTGTCTTTTAATGTTTATTTTATGTTGTCATTATTTTCATCTCTCTTTTTTGGCATATGGTGATATTCAAAGCTCCTTTTTTACTTTATTGATGTGTTTGCTGTCACCGCTGTTATGGTTTGTGTTGAGGGTTCTCTCCTAGTGATTTAAAGCTGTGCATGACACAGATAATGAGGAACCACAATGATAGCCAAAGTGCAATTGTTTAGAGAACTCCAATCAATCATGTTTGGGGGACATAAAGTAAAAATGTCAGGGTAGAACAACTGTCCTGATATGATAAATTAGGAAAACAAAACTTTAATAAAGGAATGACTGAAAAGAAAATTATTAGTGTGGCATAATATTATATTATTACGTCTAAAAAAAACTACTTTACTGTTTATTATTTGAATTTATGTCATAGGTACGACCAAAACAAAAAAAGATTAAATAAACAAATAAACCTTAAATATAAAAAATATATATATATATTTAAAGACTTTTGTTTGTTTGTTTTTGGCTGATTTATAGATTGGTTTTATTTGGTTTGATTAAGGTGTGTACACCAATTAATTACTGATAGTCTTAGACAAGCATTTATGTTCCATTTTGATGCAGCTTTCTTATTGGGATGTGTTTTTCAGGTGAAAGTGACACTTTGGTTTGTCTTGAGGATGGACTATGGTCATACCCAGAGGCTTACTGCAAGATTGAGTGTCCGGATCCCCCTTCCGTACCCAATGCCTCGCTTCTAGTTCCTCAGTGTCATGGAGGCGGGCATGACGTGGGCACTGTGTGCCACTACAAATGCAACCTGGGATATTACGTCACTGGCACGCTCAACAAAAAGCCGAGAAAGTGAGTTGCAGTCTGTATGGTTTGAACTGATTTCTAGACGTTGGTTAATGTGTTGACAAATTTTGAAGGAAAAATATGGAAAACATTTTTTTTAAATACTATTTTTTAAGGCAAAATATCTGTTTCCAGGGTCTAGGTTTCTCACATGGTTCTCATCAGATCAAAATCTCGCTCCAGGTGTTTCCAAATATCTTTCAGCAATGGAGTCAGCAATGTACTTTGATGAATGGTCTGATGCCGTGTTGTTTTGGTATTCTATCCAATCAAGCTATAGCATATAGCATATTTTAGCACATCTGAGAGGAGTAGCGTCTGCACCTGCCTCATCTTTATGAGTTATTAAAATGGCTGGTAAAATACCTCAGTGTCTTTTAACTGCTTTTAATTGGGCATTAATACCAGAAGCGATAGCCAGTGTGTCTCATAAATTAATTTAAATGATCCTGTTTATTAAGACTATTGCCATGTTTATTCTTAAAAGGCATTTCATTGTCAAGGTTTAGAAAATGGTTTATGATGGTCTAAAGAGAGGTGTTATGCTATTATCAAGCTAGTTTTAGCCTGTGCTTCTGTACGATCTTTCTCAATGAAAACTACACCCCAATTTATTTCCTCAGGATTTATTGGCTATTTAGTCGTACCAGATGTTTGTCACATGACTTAGAGGAGAGTAAATCCCCTGTGGCTGGAGGAGAATGTCATTCAAGAAATGTAGTAATTGCTGCATTCATGTTGTGCAACAATTCAGACCAAAAGCATATCGAGAACCTACAATTAAATTTCAACACGTGTTTAATGTAACAGTTCTATTAACTGTCTCAAGAAACTAGTGAGAAACCTATCGATAGAGCTTTTTTATGCATTTCGCTAATTGTAAACAACAAAAGCATTGATACCTTCTAAGGCCATTATTGTTTAATGATGTTTTTATTCCATATTAAAAGTATCAATTTATTTAAAAAGGCATTTTTAGCTTAGCAACATTCTAGCATCACAAGCAGTTAGGATAGGATGCTCTTTATGGAGACAGACGGCCATGTACACTGTAGATGTGAAGTTACTAAGATTTTTTTATTTATTTTTAATTAATTATTTTACTAAGCAAGGATGCATTAAGTAGATTTTCCCCCTTGAAATTCTGAGGGATAAAAAAGTCAGAATTGTGAGATAGAATCTCAGAAGTCTGACTTTTTTCCCCTCGAAATTCTGAGTTTAGCTCTTGCAATTCTGAGTTTATAACTTGTGATTCTGAGTTTGCATCTCACACGTCTTTTTGTTTGCTTGTTTGTTCTCACCACAGAATAAAACAATTATGAATATTTTGTATCACATGACTTTATTCTTTCTCGCAGTTCTGAGTTTATATCTAGCAAATCAGAACTGTGAGAAAAAAGTCAATTGTGAGATAGAAAGTCACAATTAACTTTTTTTTTTATGCAGTGTCTGCAACAAGTTTCCATAGTTCTTTTGAACTTTCTATTTAAAGAATCCTAAAAAAATATCAAGTTTTAAACTAAAATAATATCAATATTAAGCACTGATAATCATAAGAAAGCATTGATAATCATAAGAAATGTTTCTTGAGCACAAAATCAGCATATTAGAATGATTTCTGAAGACTGGAGTAATGTCTGCTGAAAATTCAGCTTTGCCATCACATGGATAAATTACATTTTATAATATATATATACTGTATATATGCTGATTTTGTGCTCAAGAAACATTTGTTATGATTATCAATGCTTTCTTATGATTATCAATGCTTAATATTTATATTATTTTAGTTTAAAACTTGATATTTTTTAGGATTCTTTAAATGGAAAGTTCAAAAGAACTATGGAAACTTGAGATGAATCATAAATTGCAGTAATACTTAGGGATAGGTTAGAGTTAATTTTTACTGTTTTTACTGTATTTTAAATAAAGTAAACACAGCCTTGGTGAGCATGAGACTTCTTTTTTTTTTTTTTTTTAGAAAACATTAAGAAATCTAGTAGTGTTGCCTTAGCAAGTCAGCTTACTAGATTTTGAAGCGCAGCCAAAGTAATGATTTTGTACAGGTATTATATTGTAGGTATGTGCGTTCACCCCTGATGATTTACCCCTCCTTTATGCTAATGACTTGTTTTTCTCAGGAAGTTTCTGAGGTTGGAGTGTTTGGAGGGTGGGATGTGGCAAGAGGGCAGCTGTTCACCTGTCACATGCCCTCCTCTCCCGCTGATGTTTGAGGGCATGTACACCTGCACCAACAATTTGGACTTTGATAGTATCTGCACCCTACAGTGTCCTGATTCAACAGAAAGGGTATTGTACCACTTTGTAGGCCAACTTTTTCTGTGTATTCCTAAACTCTGCAGTCATTAAACACTCATCTACGTTTGTCCCTGCAGTCCAGCATTCGATGCACCAAAGATGGCAAATGGACTGAGGACTTTATTATGTGTAAGAAGATAGAGGGACCGTGCCAGCCTCCTCTTGACCTTAACCTGGTGGAATACAGCTGTGAGGATGGCTTTGACGTGGGTGAGGATTTAAACTAACAAGAAAATTGACTGGTTATGAGATAAAAGTTGCCCATTTCAAATATGGAAATGACTAGGTCAGTCGATTTTTAACAAAGCAATGATTATTGTCTCAATCATTGTCTAAACATATATTAAAATGCATCTTACAAATTTTTTTCTGCATTGTATTATTTGGCTGTACATTTAGGCCACTGTATTTATCCTTCCTAATAAGAGGTCTAGACATACTGTACTGTACCTGCCTGGGCTTCAAGACCACAGTCAGTTGCATGCAGAAGGATTTTTTTGAGTGCCAGCCTGCCAAGCTGTTCGACTATGGATGACTAGTCTGGAGCTTGGCTATTCATGTGCGCACATGAATAAATTCAACAGATGCAAATGATGGTTAAAGCAAAGCTTGCTTTGTGTCATGGCAGGTGCCGTCTGTTACCCAACATGCATTGTGGCCTTGAGTGACCCTGTGGTGTTATCCAATGGCTCCAGCGCTGATACAGTAGAACACTGGATGCTTCCCAGCAAGGTTCAGGTGAGGTGGTGAGGCCAGTTTGCCACAAATTGTTATTTGATATCATTGGCTGTTCAAGAATTTAGGCACTTTCTGTAAAGCCCTTTTTTCAATTCTTACTATTAAACTTTTAGAAATGCTTAGGGTAGAGTGAACTAAGAAACAACACTTTTTACAGCTTTTATTAATTAGAGTTGTTTTATTTACTGCAGAGCAATCATTGGTAAGCAAGTGATGTAATGCTAAATATATTCAAATTTATTCCGATGAAGAAACAAACTCCTCTACATCTTGGATGGCCTGAGGGAGAGTACATTTTCAGCAAATTAAAATTTTGGGGTAAACTATTCCTTTAAAAGTTCTACATACTAATACATGTTTAAAATGTTAAGTTGTTTACAATATGAATGAATATGAATTAATAATGAACAGTAGTATATTTATATATTTTAATTATTTGTAAATATGCTCAAATATAAATGCATTATAAAAATAAATATTTATAAATGTAACATTAGCCTAGATTAATAAAATGTTCCTTGTAAGTTTATAATGCATTATCATAATAATATGCATTATAATACATTAAAGGTTTTTCCGTGTTTACAGGCCCTATTTTAACGATCTAAGCACATGGTCTAAAGCGCACGGCGCAGGTGCACTCAGGTCATGTCCGAATCCACTTTTGCTAGTTTAATGGCGGGAAAACGGTCGGCACGCCCAGCGCATGGTCTAAACGGGTTGTCCCTATTCTCTAAATGAGTAATGGGTGTTTTTTGGGTGTAACGTGCAATAAACCAATCAGAGTCTCATCTCCCATCCCCTTTAAAAGTCAGTTACGCAAAGTGAGTTGGTCTATGGCGCAGTCTATTTTCAGTTCCTCAAAATAGCAACGTGCCAACAATGCGCCTGAACACACCTCTTTTTTAGAACAGCACGCCCATGGGTGCACAAATGGGTGCAAATGCATTTGCTATTTAAACAACGCGGCACAGGACGGAAAAATGAGAACTGCGTCGGGCTGAAACTAGCAAAAACACTTGCCCCACGTCTTGCGCCACATTGCGCTGGGTGTATGATAGTCACCGGTGCATCTACCGACCCAGAAAACGTGAAAAAGATTAACCCAGTAAATTTGTTTTGGTAAGCCTTTTTCTACAAGCGTCTGAGAAAACGTGTCAGATTTCACTCCCTCTGTGACGTGATAAAGGGATCTTATTATAATATCACCGCCCCTTTATCTGCACGCTTCCACACATGGCACCACCATTGTGTTTTCGCAAACAACAACGGTGTACAAGTTCTAGTGCCATGGCAAAAGTTCGAGCAAAGCATGCAAACTGTTCTATCTTTAGTTGCACAGACGAGAACAGAACACTATTTAGAGTCCCAGCCTCAGAGGAGGCAAGAGAGCAGTGGATTTATTTATTTACTGTATATTACGTTGCTGCAACAGATGATATAAACGACTTCTTTCCCAGCTGTTTACCTTCACAGACATAACCGACTGTTTTTGTAAATGTGTTTTAACAAACTTTTGTGCATTTGACAGTTTAAGCACAATAAGACATGAAAAATAACTTAGTTTAGTACTCAGATGCCATGTAACAGCCGCTTTCTGTGTGTGTGCTTCGGATATGTGTGCTCAGAATACACTATATCAGAAGTTTAAACTAATATGGCTTTAAAACGCATGATTTCAACGCGATATACAAGATAATCAAAACTAGGGATGGGCGTATCGATCCTGAATTTTCGATATATCGATACTGATGCGAGTATCGAAAGTAGTTAAAAAACATTATGATACTAAGGTGTTTTATTTACCAGTCATTTTGTTTATTTAAAAAAAACATTTTGCTAAAGGCATTGAATTGGACGAATAACCTATGCTTGCGAATAATTGTGTAGGATAGAACAATTTTCCTGCTCATCTAAACACATGCAAATGTTGCAAGACCGAAACAATCAATCACAGAGAGCGTTCACTCACTTCTGACAGTACATTGCTTTCAAACAGGTGTAAGGGAAACAGGTCAATAATTTAGCTCAAAGGGAATCATTTAAGATTTTAAAGGGAACTCCACCATTAATATGCAAGGGAATTAGGACAGAATCACTGTTTTACGGCGGATCACTGAGACGGCCAGCGATTCAGTGAACGAGCCGTATGACAGCAATTCTGCAATGGATATCAATATCCAAAATATAGTGAAAACACTATTAATTAGCATAGTAACAAGATCGGCAGTTTAAGACATTAACTTGTGAGCACAAAACACAAGATACTTCTCTTTTCCATATAAATAAGGCTTTATTGGATAAATCTAAGACATATAAACTAATCTAACACACGCATTCACACACAAGTTGCAGAAAGAGAGAAAGTGAGGAAAATAATTAGTTTAAGAGAATGAAAATGTGAAATCCCAAGTTACAGCAATATGTGCCATTGCATAGATCTGAACAACCATCAATCACTTAATTAACCCTCGCACTGAATTCCTCAATGAGGTTAAAATT